AGCAGGCCAGTCTCTGCAGCGAGCGCGCTTCAGCGCGCACGATCCCCACAGAAGGTTTGTTGGCTGGAAATTCGAGGGCTCATCCCGCTGCTGCCCGCCGATCCCACCCCTGCCAACAAAACATACAAATGTCGAGGCCCCGCCTCAGCAGGACTGTCTGCGCAGCAAAGCCATGTTACATTGAGATGTGCTGTGAGGCAAGGCCAGGTTGAGATATGTAGAGATGTGCAGTGAAGTTTACCATAGCCTTCTAGATCCTTCGCTGCGTTTCGGGAAAGACTAGAAGCCGCAAACATCCAACCGCATCGAAACCCACCCGTGTCAAACATGCCAACACGCGCATGCAAAAGAAAAACAACAAAACCATGTCCGATCCTGAACGTGACCCGACCAATGCGTTGCAGTCTCGAAGCTTTGGCGCTAGGTGCAAGCGGTACCCTGTCAGACCATGAGCTTTTGGCAGGGCCCTTTGAGTGTGTCACCAGACGTCGGAGGTGGGGGGTCCATTTTTCAGTTTTAGTTGAGGGGGGGGGGCTCTTCCGCGTCGAGCACTGCTTTTTTCGGGGCAATGTGCTGTTTTTTTGGAAGTTGGTGCCTTTGTCGGGGCGTTTCTGTTGTTGTTGGATGTCTCGTTTTAGGCTTGAGGGGTTGGTTTCGAGGGAAACCACAGAGACCACAGGAACCTGCATGTCTCTCCTGGTGTTTGGGGAGTTCTTGGCTTCTCAGATCTTTGCAAAAGCCCGGGGTTGGCCTTTCTAAAGGGGTTCTTGTACAAACAGCCAGCGTTTATAACTCAAGTGACGCCCCCCCGCCCCCCCACAGGGAATTCTCTCAAAGAAAGAAGCGTTGTCCTATGGCTTCTTTTCATAGATCAAGGGACCCCCAAGGTGGAAAGATCTCAAACCTTAAAGGGAGAGATATGGAAACAGGTTTTCACTATAGATAGCTTCCCCTTCCTTGGAGATGGGTTATGTTGAAAACCGGGAGTTGGCCTTTGATGCCCCTCTTTTTTCCACTTGGGGGGGATTTCAGCAAATCGTTTAAAGCCCACAATTTTGGTCACCGCATACGAAATGCTCCATGGTGGGACCCTGAGGTTCCAACTGACCAAAAGGCACGATGCAAGGCCCGTCCATGCTGAAGCACTTGCGGGGTGGGGCCCGGGGGATGTAGCGCGCCTTGCTAGGAACCATCACTTCACGCTGGAACCCTTGCGTGAAAGGTGGGAGCAGCCCTTCTTCTCACCATCAACCTCGGTTGCTTTTCGGTTCGACCCAACGAAGCTTAACTTTTCGGAAGAGTACAATTTGCTGGTCCCCACTGGCCAACCGTGGGGTCAACCAATTTGTAGGTCCGTTCGACCCACTGAGCTGCGCGCGAGGTTTTCTGGCCCCCTTTTGGGCCTTGCATTGAGGTGTGGAGATGTCAAGTGCCGGAAGGAGCAGGCGAGGGCTGACCCAACGCCGGTGGAGGGAAGCTTTTCCCGATAAGTGGGGCCCATGGAAGCTTGGCAGCGCCTTTTTGCAGAAGTTCTTCTGGGATTTTGGTCTTTTGGTGCTTATTTGTTGTAATATAAATCGAGCCCAGAGCTTGGTGCTTATGTCCCCGTTGCAGGGTCCGCAGGCTTCATCAGTTGAGTCGATCTTGTCCGCTCCCAGCGAGTCTCACCTTTGATGCCATTGCTGTAATCTGCGTGGTTTGGTGGCTGGCTGGCTGGTTGGTAGGTTACAAGCAGAAGCTGCTTGTGGAATATTCCAGACTTGCTGATCGCCACTTATGCCATGGCAGGGAACACTTGCCTGCTTCAAATGGGGAAGTGGTCACTGGAAATGTCCCAGCATCACACGATTCCATTTTCTGCCACCTAAGTACCTTGTGCTCAACTGGGCCCTAAGCAGTCTTTTGTTTCTTGCATATGGGTTTGTCGCCCAATCCAAGGAACCAGCACAACGGAACAAAAGCTTTTCAAAGGTTACCAACCCCACAACACCCAAATCCGGATGACCCGAACCTTAGCAAATCAAAAGATTAAGCTTAGTCGCACAACACCCAAGCCAAGATGACCTGAACCTTATCCAATGAAATGATTCACTTAAGCTTAAGTGCAGAGGTTCTCGGTCAACGTCCGGGTACCTTTCTAGGTCCGCCGCTCAGGCAATCCTGTGTGACCCCTGGACAGAGGAGCTCTGAGGGCTTGGCAGAAATTCCCGAAAATACCTAGGGTTGGACTGTGTGGTGGATTCCGGAAACAGCCTGGCATGAAAAAGCGGGGCTCGGCTCCCCAGTTTTTGGACTGGAGTCGTTGCCGCGCTGGTTGACCCTTGTTGGTTTGGATTGGTTTGGGGAGTTGACCTCCCAGGTTTTGTAGAGGCCGGGGAAGCACCAAGAGTGTGGCGGACCTCGGGGAGTTCCCAAAAGCGAGAAAGTTGCCATTGGGATCCGAACGATCTCAACCAGGAGAAAGGTTGAGTACGGGAGATGGGGGGGCTTTGTTCCAGTCCTTTTTTTGTTTTTGTTTTGCGTGTGGCACGTTCTTTTCTTTTTGTTTCCCCCCCCCCCGAGGGTACCCTTTCAACCTGGGTTCAAAGAACAAATTAAAGGCAAACCAAACTCCATTTTTCGGCCCCCAAATTCATGCGTTTCATATATCCACATTGGTCCAAGACCCTTTTTTGACGGTGCCGGTTTCCATGGGTTAGCCGTTACTGAGCTGCCCCTCTAGGAAGGCCCTGCCACGGTGCGCTGCTACAAGTGCCCATGGGCAGGCGGGCGGGCGGGGAAAAAAGGGGGCAACAGAGTTGGGTGTTGGCTGCTTCGCGGCGTTTTCTTCCATTGGTGGTTTGGAACGCAAAGTGAGAACTCGGCGCCCAATGGCTTTGCACAACCCAAAATATGTTTGATCCAACTCCAGCGTAAGTAGCTTGCACGAGGCTAAGCCCAAGCCTTCAGGGAGGGTGTGTCTTGCGCGGTGGTTTGTACGGTGCATACCGTGATCTATGCACTCTGGAACGATGCAAGAAACTGCAAGATACCTTTGCTTCATTGCAGGTTCACCCAGTTTGAACATCAAGCCGTTGTCGTGGCTTCCCCTTTTGGCAGTTTGTGAGGGCCCCAACAAAAAGGCCAACCGCCACCTATTTGCTGGCTTGTTCCCATGCGAACTTCGGAAGAAGGGCAAAATAATTGACCCTCAAGGTCGTCAACAAGTGAGCACTCCACGCCGTTCTGAGGTGTTGCCAGTCTCTTGAAGCGGCGTGGGGCTCTCAGGTAAACATCCAGCTCCCTTTACATTTTGTGAAGGGGATTCGGCTTTGAAAGTCTGCTACCAAAGAAGAGAGTGCCTTCATTTCCCCACCATGGGAAAGAGTGCCCCGGTTTTTGACCGGAGGATTGGGCAAAGCTTCCTGTTTAGTCGATCCACGTGGGAAGAAGTTCGGGCCAACCAAATTTCAGGCACATAGCATGTCCCGATGTTGAGACAACGAGGCAAGGAATACACACAGGAGGAGACGAGATGGTTCCTGGGGGTTTTTCTTGCGGGTGTGGTCCCTGAATAAAATGTGCCAAGAAGGTGTCCAACTCGTTTGTTTAGGCCTTGTCTTGCAGCATTATTTTTGTTTAGATTACTACCCGGATGAATCAACATGGTTGCCGAGGACGTCTTCTCCCGAAAGTTGTGCTATGGGGTCCTGGTTGAAAAAAAGCACCCAAAACTGGAAGATCTGTCCCTTCGACATGTGGCCATTATGTCACCGAGGTTGAGCTGGTTCAAGCACGGAGAAACATGAAGCGCCCCACGACTCGCAAGGCACGGCCTGGAGTGAAGGGCGGATCAGGGGGTGTCGACGTTTAAATCGTTCCCTTCTTTAAGGCCGAGGCTCCCTGGTCAGCCTGTTGGCTAAGCGAATCTATCACTGGAAGTATGGTAAGCAAATGGCCGTCTTGGATCAGATACCTCTGAGTACCATTTGGCCCCTGGGGTTGTTCCCCAATGATTTCGGGAGCTCTACTTATCCACTTGAGAGAAATTCACCAACTAGTGTATGACTACCATTGTACATATGTATGTATTGTACGTATTTACGCACACACACACACCTACTTGTGAACTCCCCCCTCTCTGGGTCTTTGTTGTGTCTCATTTCTGCGAGGGTCAGGATCACGGGGTCCCAGCACGCACGCACGCATCATGGCTCTCTGCTCGTTGAGCCTGTGGTTCAGCACCAATGGGCTTGGACCCTTCCGATTCCAACATGTATTCCCGGAATGTGGAATGTGGAAGGGGGGGGTGATCAGCACCGTATTGGGGACGACTGACAACTGGGATTTCATTGGTTCCAACCCCCAACCTCCCCTGACCTGGAACGGAATTCGGAGGCCTTCGGAGGCCCACGCTCTCCACCCTGGTGGGATGTACAAGTGAAATCATTCCATGGCCACGGAATGTGGCCATGATCGCGTGGCAAGCTTGTTTGAGCTTACTGCTGGACCAACTGCCTTTTCGGAAACTGTCCTTTCTTTGGGTGATGTTCATGACTTGGAAGTATAGCTTCCCAGCAGAAAGGCTCAGGCGGGGCCCATGTGTTCACCCGCACTGTCGCAAAGGGCCGCAGCCGACCATCCGACTAGAACAAGCAACACTATTCCTTACAGAGTGTCTTGTTTGACTGTCCCGAATAAGTTTTGCACAAACCAAAGCTGAGACATTGGCATGCGGGGGATTTCGGCCCCGTATCAAGTGAATCCTTTTCAGTGACCGGATGGACATCCCTCCTCGGTATCGCAGAGCGCTAAAGGAGGCTGTGACGCGGGGGGGGGGGGTCTAATTGCAGGGTGTCCCCTTGTTTTTTTCTTTGCAACAACTAAAACATGGGTTAATGTAAATCGCGCTCCTGTGGGTGACCTCTCCTTCGTGCCGCTCCGTCGCTAGCTTGAGTTTATAGCGACCCCAGTGCTTGTAAAATCCTGGCCCGGCATTCCGTCTCGATCGCACAGAGGGCGGTGCCTACCTATGCAACAGCATAGTAAGTCTTTGGATCTTGTTTAAGGGGGTCGTTCGGGTTTGGAGGAAAGAGGTGGAAAAAGGGACAGGGGGTGTCAAGGTGCGGCAAGTGAAATTAGTAGTACTATGCCCGGCAAAAAAGGTGCTCTACACTGTTTGAATGGGTTGTGAAAGGTGACGTATAGAACCTTAAATGGATTGCAGCCTTGCGAAGGGTAGAACAAACGAGGCCACCTGGGGGTCATGCGTTCTCCCATGGTGACGATTTCGGCACGGTCTTTGTCCTATTCCCGGTTTGTGGAGCATAATACTTGCCCAGCTTTGTGGCACATGAGGTTTGGTCAAAGAAAGCGGCAGCCTATGGCTTTTGTGGGATGCACACGAAGCTTCCCGACTCTTTTGTTCCCCATTTCCTCTTGCGGGGGAGTGGCTCACAGGCGGATTCAGTGCACGGAGTTGGGCTCAGCCAGCGGGGGGCCCCGGGCCCCGGAAAGCTTTCTGTGTGGGACCCGTGCGCCATTTGACACGGGCCTCTTAAGACTCCGCTGGCAGTGGTAGACAACCGTTGAGTCACAATCAAAACCTGGGAAATTGGAGGGGTGTAAGGGACAATCCCAGCCATGCATGGTTCTGGTAGACCATCTTACTTCCGGGTTTTGATTGCAGCCATAAATGGGTGCGGATATCCGCCTTTTCAAATCTTTGCATGGTTATGGGTAGACCATTTGAATTCTGGGTTTTGATTGTGACTCAGTTCGAGCGGAAGAGCATTGAGTGCAACGCTTCGAGTGGGATTTTGGAGCAGGTTTGTTCAAGGCGGATTCGAAGAGAGGCTATCAGATAGCTGCACTTGGTTCTCGAGTCACGTAGGGAGAAACCGAGAAGCAACAGTTGGGAGGGGTTCCCTAGACAAAGCCATCCAGGTTTGTGATGGTCATGTCTTTTCTTGGAATCGGACCCCTCAAATGGTGGGTTTTCCTTTTGGTTTCCCTTTAAGAGCCACAAAAAGGGGTGCGCTACATCCATTGATGTGCCGGACTTGCTGAAAGGTTTTGCTCAAAAGCGCTCTTTCAACATGTCAAGAGGCGCTTGTATCCAACATTTCAACACGTTTTAATGCCGATGGCCTCAGTTTGTCAGGCAAGCTTCGGCCTTTTAGATTCTGTTTTGGTTCTTTTGAATAGTTGGAATACCTTCCAGGGTTGAGAAGCGACATCCCCACTTAAAAGTCCGAGGGATCCAGTACAAATATGCGGCCTGCGACAGTTCGACCCAAGGTTAGTTTCAACCCCCTTGTTTTCCTCATCGGGGATGGGTTGTGTGTTGTCTTGAACAGGGTGGCTCTGAGCCTATGACCAGCCCGGGTGGAAAATTGGTAAGGGGTCCTTTCGCTTTCTTTCAGGAACCATATGGGGGTTGATCAATGGTGCTGGCCCCCAAATGACCATGTAACTTTTCCCATGTGGGTCATTTCATCTTTTTTGGTGGGTGTCCAGCCAATGCTCATGCAATGTAAAGGGCTATGTCTAGCCCTGCAGGGAGATGGAGCCCGGTTCACATGTCCAGCCTTGGGCCAAGCTGGCCAAGCTAATACCACACTGGCTCCTGAATGCATGGTAATGCTGACCCCGGATGAATCAACCCCTGTTTGTTTGTTTGTTTGTTTGTTAGTTTCTTTGTTTCTTTGTTTGTTTGTTTGCAACGGGGGTCCCTCGAAAAGTGGTCTGAAGCCCCACAACAACCAGGGACACCCCACATTCATGAACATGGGTTCATTAATCATTAATCTGGGTCAGCATTACTCCACCAAGGATTCTTGGGCTACAACAACCCCTGAGTTTCTTTTTCGCATTGCCCCAAAAAGAGTACCTGGACCGGTCCTCGAGTTTCTTGGGGTGAGTTCCCTTTTTTCGGGGTACTTTGAGCACCCAGGTAGCAACTCCAAAAAGCAAGACGCTAGGTCACGTTGCTCAAGAATCTGGCCTTCAGCATCTCGCACGTAAAGTGATCCGACAGCGGAAAGCTGCCGCAGTGAGGGCGAGGAATGTCGCGGAACTTCAAATGTCGCAGGATCCTTCGGGCAAAAGCCAGGCTTCGCGGCTGCTGCAAGCGGGTGAATTCCCCATGGCAAATTGTGGGAGTTCAGGATTCCAAGCAGGTTGGGCCTTTGCTTTAGATTTGTATCCCATCCAGGTTGATTGATCCCTGGTTTAGGTTGCGCAACCAAGAATATCCTAGATTTCACCATGGATCTGGAGAAAATATGCCTACCTGGCGAGGCGAACCCCCAAGTTTGGGCTGGGGATCGAGCCTTTTTGTTGGCTCCTTCTGCGGGACCTCCGGCCTAGCGATGACATCAATGAAATTGAATTCGCCCAGATGGTGTGTGTGTGTGTGGATATGTTATATAGTTTGGTTTCATGGTTTTTGTTTTTTCTATCAATCATGGATATGTATATATATATATATATTATATATATATAATTCATATGGTTTGGTTTCATAGTTTCTGGTTTTCTCTCTATCTTTATGAACAATGATGGACCGTGGAGAACAGGGGCCCCTTTGAAGATGTCAGTCCAAGATATGATTCTGCTTGCTTTCATGAATCGATGTGACTCAAGTTCGGGAGCCCACATGGCTTGGTTTCTACACGGGCGGTGTTCATTTGGGTCGTCTCATCCAAGATAAGCCTCAGCCTCGCTCCAACAAGCATGGAAGCTGACAGGGTTTTAGCGTTAACCTTGGCGATTCTGGTGCACGCCTCATTGGACTTCAGGATAGTAGTAGCCACATTGGACTTCAGAAGAATCGCACGTTAGGGACATGGTTTAGTTTTGGGGTCCTCTTTGATTTAGGCATTCCTTTGGAGAAATCCGAGGCTGACTTGGCATCCACTTATATAGTCCAGCAGGAATTGCATGTTCAGCCAAGTCCAGCCTTTGGTAAACCCTTGTAACTATTTGTAGCTAGGGTGCGAGCCAACCAGCAATCGCCAGGCCATCTACGCATTGATTGTTTGCGCACCCGCGGGTGTTGCAAAATGTCCTCATGTGTGCATGGTTAGTTGGGACGGACGTTGGAGGGTTCACTCAAGGTTCAAGTGCCCGGATGCTCCATCGGCAAGTGAGGCAGGAAGGAACCCTAAACAAGGACTTACGGATTGCCAACAAAAGCCCACCGCACATTGGAACTCGACCGATATCTCAGAGTCTCAGAGCGAAACAGCCAACAAAGCAGCACGCAGCATGCACGGATCCGCCCCTTGTGGATCCCATGGCATGGTGCTTTGACGCAAGGCCCTTCGGAAGGTCCGGGCATTTGGCCCCAGACCTCTTCCCCAATGGCAAAAATGCCATGCTGGCGTGGCGGCATCATTTGATCCTACATGACTTCCATGGTTGGCCTGTACGGGACACCGGGATTTGGAGCCTAGCTACCAGCGCCCTTCAAGAAAGTCAAATTACTGTAATATCACAGGCTTGCCTTTTTATGGAATTTCTTTTTGGGTTTCCCATGAAGGCAGTGGGATAGGTTGACCTGGCTTCCAAGCCATCCCACAAAGTCACTGCGTGGCTTCGAAGTGGGCTGGAGTGCTGGAATGCGGCTGGCGGACTCCGCCCCTGATGTTTGAAGCCCATGGCTGTGCAACTCCCTACATTTGGATCCGTCTAGGGTTGGCAACGTGTCATCCTCATTCTCCCAAGAGCGAAATAAAAACCGCTCCGCCCTGGAACTCCGCGTTGCGCCCCCCAGGGCTGATGGCGTCGGATCTGGCCATCTGCATCGACTCAGATGACGAGGCCATGGAAAGCTCCAGTTGATCAGGGTCTCCTAAAGGATACACCTAAGTCTCCTGGTACATGTCGGACCCTCTCAAAAAATGAAACAGATGGTTTCTAGGTGGGATTTTATTCGACCAACATGTATGCACGGCGCCCTGTCCAAACTTCAGTGTTCTGAAAACATCCGCCCAAGCACTTGGGTGGGCAGCCTTTGACGACTGTAGGATTTGCCTTGGCAAGCTCAAAGAGAAGCGGGGAGGGAAAAGGAGTGATTCAACCCCTAAGGTATTCCTTGAGGTTTGAGCTGCGTCCCTGTTTCACCTTACCCGGTCCCGTTGAGAGGATTGCCTTCGAAGGACTGGTAGAGAGTTGGATGCCAGGGTTTCGCCTTGCCAGGAGCAGGCGCCGAACGGCTTGCTGTGTGTGGGCCCCGTTCGGTGTTTCGCAACGACGACGTCGGGGTCAAAGACTTCACCCAATGCTTCCATCTCGCGGGACCTGGGCAGATTGAGCTTTGTCAAGGCACGGGTTTCTTGGAAAGACCTTCCCGTGGGCGAAACATCAAGCTGCTTTGCAAAGTTGGATCTACGATTAAGAATCAAGATGTTGCGAATGTTCAACGGCCAAGGAAATGTCCACATTTGCTGCCGAGTCCCGACAAGCAACCAGGGTGGGTTGCGACACGTCAGGTTCAGTCAATCTTTTGTTTTGTCCACGATCAGTTTAGGGGTGTGTGGGACTCAGACACAAGAAGCTTCCACAAGAAGGAAGGGGACGCACCCCCCCCTTCTGCCCATTTACGGTTTTTCACCGCATAGTTTGATCGTGGTGTAAAGAAGACCAACGCCTGTCCCTTCAACGCCAGATTCCGGTTTCACTTACAATCAAGTAAACCAAAACCATAAAAAAGTGCCCCTTCCAACACGGCCGCTGGGGGTCCCTTGAAGCCCGCAGAGCCCTTGGCCATGGCAAGAAGCAAAATATTCCCAGAGACGTGCACAGCAAACACCCACGGTTCTTCGCTGTTTTTTTCACCAACTGTGGGCGTGTTTGCATCTTCAGCTCCGAAAGGAATCTTTTTGGGGATCAAGTCCAAACACGTTTGTTCTTTCTGGTTTGTGTTAGTGTTCCTCTCCAAACGTCCCTCGCCAAACAAGCCTGCCCAAAATAGCTTCTTTCACGCAAGACGGTTTGATTGCGCACAGCCCTCCATAAACCAACAATTGGATCCTTCCAAAAAAAAACAAAACAAAAAAAAACGTGTATTGTCCCCGAACCAGCAAACAAGTTCCTTTTCCCAAGCCTTGGAAAAGGTTGCCCCAAGAACCCTGAACAGCGCCCTCACGCCGCGCAAGTTTGGCACCCAGGTGAGCAACCGGCAATGCCATTGGCGGTCTAATGCACTGTAAGCCCGCATCTGAAGTCCCCCAAGGGCAGGGAAGCAGGAAATCCACCCAGTTGTCCCAGCTCCATATTCTCCGGAACTGCCGGCCTTACCAAGATGATACCCAAACATCGCTTTGGGAGCCTGCTCCCTGTGGATGGACAACATGTTGCACCACCCAAGAAACAACGGGGAACCATTGTTGGTATTTACAGGGGAATCACCATTCCCAAGCTTTCTTAGGTGGTGCAGGATTTCGTCCATCCACAGTAGCACCCTTTGTTGGGGTTCCGTTGGTTTGCAGGGCCTTGCCCGTGGCCAAGGCCAGCTCCTGCTACCGCAGCCAAAGAGTGCCGCCCCCACTTCCATGTGACCCAGTTTCCTCTTGTGTTGCTGGGGGAATTCTTATGAAATGGGAAGGGTTCCTATGAAATTCCTTTTTACTGCGGCAGGGTTCCTATAAAATTCGACGAAGGAGAGTCGTGAGGTGGATATCATGGCTTGGCCGGAAAGGCCCGCGAATTCAGCTTGGACGCCTTCGGAGGGTGCGTTTATCGCCTTTGGAGTCGGCACCGTTTTGGGATTTTCAGAAAAGCCGAAGGGCAGCCGCCCAAAAGGTTTCAGAACCGCGGAAAACGTTCTTGTCCTTTCTGCTTGCTCATACTTATCTGCTTTGGCCGAATTGGTTGGCTTTCCCCGCCTTTCCCATCGTTGCGAGTCACAATTTCTAGGGTATGTACGGAAAGCTGCTCCATTCCCCGCTCAATTCTGGTGGCTTTAAGTTTGAAAGGAGTTTCGGCCCGGATGCATGGAATTCATATAACAGCAGCTTCAGTCGCATGAGCAGCGGAGAAGCCGCGCATGCTGAATCAAAAAAGCACCCGATTCTCACTTTGGATTGGTGTCGACTGTGTGCATGCTGATGCGTGGCTGACCAGGCGTGGCTGACCAGGCAAGGCTGCTTATTCTCAATTGGACTTCGATGGATCTGTGCCTTGTTCTCCCTTCCTTTGGCTGGGTGTCCCTGCAAAATCAGCCGGCTAAAGGGTAGCACAGTATAAACTATGCCGGTTATCAGAACGAATGTAATGAGACCCTACTGTTGGGGTGATTTGTTGTTGAGCAGAGGCATAGACAAGCTTGAGAGCGGGGTACATGGGGTCGCCTTGCATTGGCTGATTCCCAAAGGATTGGGAAAGCAGAATTGATCAAGGACATGTTTAGGTGGCTCGTCTGGAGGTTGTACACCACTTGTACAGTGGAGCAGTCTGCGTCTGTTATATGCGTGGTATATATTCGCACCTCCTAAAAGAGCGCTTGGACATGCAATCAAGTGACCCCTTTGCAGCCAGATGGTTGGATGCTTGGTTGGGGTCATTCCCTTCATTTCGCCGAGATGGGGATGCAACACCTAAGACTTGCGGATGCGTTTCGGAGAGAGCCCGCCTGGGCGGATTTTTAGCAATTTCTGCCGTGCACGAATTTTGCCAAGGCATCACCTGGTTTCAGGCTTTGCTAACAGCCCCGTTACAGACCCTTTCAAAGAGGACACCACCTAAATGTTGTCAGCTCCAAGTTCCACACCCGAAACTGCTGCTGACTGTCCAAGGTACAGTTTGGATGCCAAAAGTCCATCCGCTCGATCGGAAGTGAGGATAGGTTGGCATGGTTTGTGATAGGTCAATCCAAACCATTTCGGGCAGGAGGCTTCAACACTTTACCGCTGTAGGTCGAGAGGCCTGAACCGACTTAGGTGAGAGCCGACGTGCAGTGCCGGCCTAAGTCTTGTACTGGTGTCGGTTACGCCGAAGGATTTTTGGAGGCGTTTGGGCAAGTGTAGATTACAATTTGTGCGCCTGTTGTCTCCTATCAATTGAAAGGGGTCCCCGTTTTGCAGGTTTTGGGAATGAAGAAGGGGATCCAAAGTAGGATGATTTATGGGTTCCCTTTCCGAATGAAGCAAGCCGATGTCATTGCAGATATCAAGCAGCTATGCTTTTCCGGGGTGAGAGTCTAGAAATTGGGAACCTTCTTCGCAATTGCTTGGCGCCAGGAAACAGCTGCAAAGGGGTGGTTTCACCCCAGTGTATGGGAAAGGCCCTCCTTTTCCGCTTGGTTTCGTGGGTTTCACTTGAAAGTCAGCCAGCAACAGGGCAAAAAGCACTGGGAAGCCACCGCACCGCTGATGTTTGGCAGGTTGGCGATGTGTCCATTGTCCAAGTGCAAAGCCGCAATCCCAGAGGTCAGAACGGGGTGTGAGGGAGGCCCCATAATTTCTGGGCCTCCTCAAAACGATCTTATATCGCAGACCAAATTTGAAACAGAGTCAGATGATATATTTTTTGGGTGTGCACCTGTGAGCCAACAGCCACACAGGTTGCCTTACCATCCACTCAGACGGAACCACCACAGGGTCCAGGTTCCATGTTACGTGGATGGGAGTACAAACATGGTTCAGGTAGCTAGATGCAACGGCGCCCCGCAACCCCATTCCAATTATTTAGTCCATACATATTTGTTTTTGGGAAATGGTGCTTCGACCTCCTTCTAGTTGATATTTGAATGGAAGCTATCACCAAACCAGCCATTTTGGGGGTATCCCTCGATTTGGAGAAGCACTCCTATATGAGGAATCCGTTCAAGGGTGGAACAATGTCTTCTTTCCTTTGGCTTTCCGTTGTTCCTTTACCGGGGGTCAAACTTTGACCATAGCGAAGTCTTTCCGTTGGTCGCTGTTTGGCAAGGGTGACCTTTCACCTTTCTCTCGGGCTCATGTGGTCGCTTGGTCACTTGGACATGATCAGTGGGAAACCACAGGCATGTTGCACTGGGTAACCAAAAACTGATCACCATCAAAGCATCATACAGTTCCCGTGGAAGACACTATTTTTTTCATGAAACGGGACGCATGCAAAAGGCTGAGGGGGTATGTTTAGACGAGGATTGGGGCCCGGCAGCTGGTATGCTCGTTTGTTGGTCTATTTGCTTCTCTTGATTTTGATTTTGCTGGTTTTGTTTTGTTTTTGGACTTTGCTTGTGTGTTTGGTGTCCAATTGGTTGCCGTTCGTACCGTTCTTCAAAAGTCACCCAATTTGACCGGCAGAGGTAAGGTGCCGTTTTCAACTCAAGCGCTTTTCGTTGTTGTCTCCGTTTTATGGCTGAAATCACTGGAAGCAAGATAATGCATTGAACAAACAAGAAGATACAAAGCTGACGCGTTGTTTTCTCACCAAGCAACAATCACATCTAAAGACACGTTTAAGTTCCTGGCGGCAAGCAACGATATCTACGTTTCAGTTATCCCCGGGAGAGGAGACACTGCATCTCGTTTCTGGCTGAGGCTCTGGTCAGCCTGGCCCTTGGGAAGCGGAAGTTCGGGGTGAGCGACCCATGTCCGGCGATCTTTTCCAATGGAATCCTTGTGCCGCGGGTCCCTGAATTAAACTGACGAATCCCAAGAGTTGCCCAAGTCATACCAAGCTTGGCGTTGGCGCGCTGCAAAAAATAAGCCGCTACTCAGGCGATGAAGAGAGTGTCAATTCTGTGGACCTTGCTACTCTGTGATTTGTATCTTGATCTTGGTTTGAGGGTACTCTTTTTGAGATTATTCAAAGGCGAACCGAAAGAAAAGCGAAAGGGGGGGAAAGAGAGCCCATCATATGCCCTTTTTCGTGTTTGCCCATTCCAGGGTACAGTTCCGCTTGCTTTTGAGCCATGCCCGTGGCTGCAGCCCTTCACAGTGTCTGCACTTGTTTCTGGTAGACTTCCAACTCGATGTCTGACACAAGTTCGCCCTTGCGGTTTCGGCTTAGCTCCGCCGTGAGCGGTGTTGAACACCACCTTTTGGAGCGGTTCCTCCGCCAAAAGGGAGAGTGTTCAAGTGGTTCTAGGGGTACCTTCCCCAAAACCTCCAGAATCCCAGAAAAAACGGCTGGTTTTTCTGGGAGGGTTCCCCAGTAGTGCCCTTTTGCCCTTTTTTTGTGGAGGGTTCCCCTACTAAGATAGACTACAGAAAAAAAGTTGGTACCCTTATTCTAACCTCTCTACTAGAGTATCAGGGGCGTGCCCCCCTGTCCGTGAACCCAAGGACCGAGCTCAGCATTTCCTGGGCAGAGGACGAGGCCATGTCGAGCCGACCGCTTTCTTTTCGCGGGTCCGGTTTGGTGGTCCGACGGTTATGGGGGCCGGGTTCCGAAGGGGTGGGAGAGTCATGGCTTGGTGGCTCCCAGCCGTTTTTGTAACGGCGGGTTTCCATCTAACCCACAAGTCAAGCTGGTAGCAGGGGATCTGAAAACGGACGGCCCAGAGTTCTGGTGAAGGCTGCCATACAAGCGGGTGCGGATACCTGCGGACAGCTGGCCAAGATCCAATCGCTTGGTAAGAAACCGGAGAGGTGACGTCTGTGTTAGAGACCATCATTTGGCCATCGACTTTTTTCGTGCTGGGAACACCCTCCAAAATCCTTGGTGCACATAGATTCCCGAGTGAATGTTCGCCAAAGGGTCCCCGAGCAAAAGCATGCCTAATTTGTCTCGAAGGTTGATGCCCAATCCGAAAGCAGCTTCACCTGGGGCGCTGTGCTGGGATGCGCCTTGTGGCGCCTTTGTGCCAGGATGGCCGGGTCACTGTGCCGACCAGGGTGCGGCGCTCACATCCGTTCACGGCTCATCGGAGTCTTGTCGTTGCAAAGGTCCCTTCTAGTGGTTGCATTTAGACCATCACTGAGAGGATAGCTTTGACCATGCCACTTTCATTAGAGAAAAGAAGACCGTCACCCAGGGTCGAGGGTCTCACTGCTTTTCTCTTTAAGCATCACCCCACCAAAAGGAAGCCAGGCAAAAAGGGCTGATTGATTTTTCTGTTCCTTCATGTTATCTTTCAACTAGCACAAAGTTCAGTTTCTGCGGCAGTACGTCTGGCCCAGAAAAGATGAGGTTCAAGTGATCCAACGTGACACTTGCCACCACTTGCTCGTCACCAGCGAGAGAACGACTCAGGTTGTGTCACACATGACCGTCAATTCCGCGACGCTGGGGAGCCCAAAGCCGCAATGATCCACAGGCCGAGTGGGTAGACTTACTCCTTGAAATCCAAACTTGTAAACCTTCAAGGGAGTTTTTGGGTGCCCAAAAAGTTTAAGCTTCGATTTTCAGCGGATTTCACTAAGTTTTGTTTGCTTGGGGGGGATGCAGTGGATGGAGATTTTTGTTTTTTCTCCCAGCCTTGCTTCTGGTCTGGTTCTTTGCTGGCTGGCTGGCTGGCTGGCTGGCTGGTTGGTTGGTTGGTTGGTTGGTTGGTTGGTTGGTTGGTTGGTTGGTTGGTTGGTTGGTTGGTTGGTTGGTCCGTCGTTCAGGGTCGGGTTGGTCGATTGATCGATTGGTTGGTTGGTTGGTTGGCTGGCCGTATCCAGGATTTTAACCAGCCTCACTTGGACCTAGGGCCTCAGTTGGTGGCCCAACTCCTGCCTAAAACCAGAATGATAGGCCCTGAGGCTGGGAATGCAAAAGGGATGCAGAAGGGATGCAGAAGGGATGCAGAAGGGATGCAGAAGGGATGCAGAATGGGATGCAGAAGGGATGCAGAAGGGATGTTGGTGATGTGCTAGGGATGCCTGTGATGCTGGTGATGCTGGGATGCCGGGATGCTCGGGATGCTAGGGATGCTAGGGATGCTAGTGATTCTGGGGATGCTGGGGATGCTGGGGATGCAGACAACAGCAGCAAGGTAACAAAAAAACACTTCTCCGGGGTTCGGCATCACCTTCTGATGCGATGCTGGCACGAGTTGTTGTTGAGGGTCGTGGTAAACCTATCATTTTGGGATCCCATATTTCAACACACACACACACACACACACATCTTTGAGGGTGCCTTGTTTTCTGCGTAAGAAGATGAATCAAAACCCAGACGACCATTTTCCAGGGTTGCGCCTCTTTGTCAGCTTCAGACATGGGCAATGGTCAAAGTCTACCCTTGTTTGGTTGTTTTTAAGACTAAGGTGAAACCATGCGGTGCACCCACTTTCGGGGTTCTCTGATATATACTCATGGTTGTGGCGAACGACATCTTTAGGGGATTCATCATCATGTTGATTCGCGCGGGACCCTGCTTTTCTCCGCTCACTAACATTTGCCTGGCTTGCAAATGCCAATTGTAGTGTTGGCTGATCTGAAATTCCATCCTCCTCGGCTTGCTTGAAAGCTACATTATGCCTTCCCCAAAGGCCGCCGCCACGTGGAACCATCCTCCAAGAGCTGACATGAGTTGAATGGCCACAGAACGCAACACTTTGGATGTGGTTCCATCAAAATGCGTCCTCAGATTTAACCTCCAAATGCTGGCTTAAAGGGCCACCGTCTGTTGGATTTTAAAGGGAAGGCATGAGTCCCCCATTCCGCCAGTTTGAGGGGTCCAAATCCAACTCGTGGCCCCTGTGTGCACCATTCGGCGACCCCAGTTTGGCTAGCTAAAAAGGGAAACCAAATACCGCGATTTTGGGGTGCCCTTCTGTTTTTTGAAGATGAAGTAAAGGGACATGGTGCACGACACAGAAATCTGCGAGGCATGAGAAAGGGAAAGCTGGCAAAGGCCTTGGAAGCAAAGCCCGGCCTTTGACAGAACCAGCACCCAAGACTGCAAAAGGGTCACAACTGGGGCATGAGGTTGGCCTATGAGGGACATGGGGCACTCACTGAGGTTCCTTCCCCACAGGAAAAAGAAGAAAAAACAGCTGGTTTGGATTTCCCCCCAAGACTTCCACCATGAAAACCCCGGACCGGAGCCCAGGAAAACCCCTCCGCCCATGGAGCCACTTTTGCTCCGCCGTCTTTTTCTCATGGCGCGCGCGCGGATCTCGCTGGGATTCTCGGATTCTCCGCGAGGATCGTGCTGAAGCTGCAGGAGCCGATGAGCTGGAAGGCGGGTCGAGGGCGCGCGGGTCGCGGCCGTGCGCGGGTGGGTCGTGGGCACCGAAAACATCCACAGCCTTCCACTGCTAGGTCCCCCGTTCGGTTCCCCTACTAAAATAGACCAAAAAGAAAAAGTTGGTGCCAACTTATTCTAACCTCGCTACTGGAGGACCTGGACTGTGTGACATGGAACCTGGGGTAGACTTAGGATACATTTTACATCTTACCAGTGACTCAAGTGGAAGCAAACAATAGAATATACATTCTATAACTGGGCCGAAGTCTGATCCTGGAACCAAAGGGCCCTCTGTTGGAAGAAACCGGTCCAAACCAGGGCACCCCCCAGTTAGGGAACAGGAGGGAAAGTGGGATCTGTTTGAACACCTATTGCGTTTTGAGGTTCAGTGCTTGGTAGGATCGATCACATGGTTTTTGGCTGGGGCCAACGCTGAGGTAGGAAAGGTTTGACCGAAATGAGCTGAAACCCCAAAGGGGTGCTGACCAATGAAACCTTGGGTCAGATTTGCCACGTGAAACTTAAGTTTCGCAAAGTGGAGCCCCTGGAAGGCCCCTTTACGCTCAACCTGGGTGTGCCCCCAAAACCAACGAAAGGGCCGAGAGTGTGTTTTCTTCCAAACAAGTTACAAGCAACTAATCAAAGGAGGCACCATCCGTTTTGTTACGATGCGCGATTCTTTGGTTCACCCTGCAACGGGTGCCCTGCAAACGTCACCATTCCCGGGTGTCCGTTGGCCTGAGTTGCTCCCAATCTAAGAGGCTCCCCAAAAGGAGATTCCGAAGGTATGGGACCCTTTGGAGTGCTAAGCTGTTCGGAGATTGTGCATGTGGCTTAAGTATTTCGAACTTGGCGAAGTTGTCATGGGGAATATCCTCCCAAATGCATAGAGGGCGGAAAAAACATTAAACATGATGCTCGCTAAAGAGTCCCCAGTCAAAATGCAAATGCGATCGGCCATCACATTTGGGTCAATGATCAGTGAGTCTTCATTGAATGGGCGTGGTGTTTCATTGAACGGGGAACCCTGCATTAAATTGGCCAGTTGAGACGATGCCGAAGGCGCCTGTACATGCATGTGAGGGGGGATGTTTTCTCACAGACCCTTCCGCGAGGTGTCTCCAGAGGCGCGAGATGGCTGGGTGTTGCCCCCTCACATTCAGACTCTTAGGGGAGCTGAAGCGGTGACTTTCAAATGGATCGCAGATGGGCAGGAAGTGGACGGCCACATGGCAGTTTTACCACCAACGGTGAGCACAGAGGAGCAAGCATTTGCAATCACTTCAAGAAAAATGCCAGCAAAGTTCCGATGCTTTATTTGACATGGGGGGAGCAGCTCTCACCATTTTTCCACACAAACAGCTGGCGAGCACTACCCAAATTGCTCGTTTGGTGACTGATTTTGTCTTGAGCTCCATAGAAGTCTTACCATACACCCGAAGTGGTTGTGTACCCTTCTGTTGTTAAAGCTACCCCCAAAAACCTCAGCCGCAAGACCGACATAGCCAGTTGCCTCGGGGCCCCTTGGGCCTGGTGCCCGGTCGACCCTCAAGTGGGTCAGGCTCTGGACCTGGGCCGAAAAGCGGTCGCAACCCAAAAACGGTTTGCGCATGAGAGTTACTGTGGGGGATAGACATACCACCAGCGGCTCATACAGGGGGGAGCAACGGCGATTGGACCAAAGTGTAAGGCGGTGAGAAGCACATAGGAGTTGGTGCCACCCTCTACATCCCGTGGTTGTTTGGTAGGTTCCCCTTAAGACATGGAATCAACCCCAAAAGAGATGCTTCCATCGGTATTTTGCTGGGACCTGGGCAAAACTAGAACCTCCAAGGAGTTGTCAGGTTGATTCGGCTTCGCATCAGCCCTTCAGCTGCACACTCTGAGACCAGAGCGCGCAGATCTGAGCAGCTTACTGTGGCTTTCCTAGAACAAGTGTCCAGCTTCTGTGACCAAAGCCTTTGGCCCTTTTGCTTGGACTGCAGTTGGACCTTTGCAATTGGCAGCTGATCAATGGTTCTACACAATTTCGCAATTTCCCACCCCTAGGTTTGGGTTGAATACGGGAAATCACCCGGAAAGAGGGGTTTCTTGGTCCAGGAACACATGTCCCGATCAATGAGCAGCCCAACAAGTTGTCCCTTTGACGAATCCGAATTCGCATCGACAGCCCCAGACACACTAACGACCTCATCCTGTAAGCTTTCCCTGCAACCTGTCTGACCCTTTCATTTCAAGGCATTACCCCTGTTTTTGTTTGGGTGGGTTCCCCAACATTGGCCACTTGGCAGGCTCCGGGTAGCAAGTTGTCCAACCCAAGCACTTATGTTTCGCCAGGATGGGCTGCTGGAGGACTTCGCTTTGGTGCCCAAGGAGACTGAGGCGGGGGACGAGGTGCAGGATTTGGTCCATGAACCAGAAAGCAATTTCTGGGTTCCCGCCTTGCGCAAAGGCCAAGTCTGTGAATTCGACATGGCTCACTGGCTTGGATGCAAAGGTGTGCAGATTGCTGCCAGTCCACTGGCACACCGCATGTGCCGATCAGCAACGAGATAAAATTGACTGGAAAAGAATGCCATGCCTGTTGAACTCACCAGCCCGTTTCTTCGTAGATTGCATGCAGAGCATGTGTTCAATTTACTTGCCAGGTAAATTCTACATAAAATGCTTAGTTTTGTGCTGGCGTGCGTGCTTGGTTGCTTGGGTGCTTGGGTGCTTGAAGAAGGCAGCTCCAGAAAAGTCTACAAGAAGTCAGCCAAAGGCCCGGTATTTGATAGGTATTGGCTCCGGTAGAGCTTTCTGGGAGTTCTTAGATAGACTCTTTCCCCGGGTTCCTGGACTTTATACTTTTTGGGAAGATCATTCTAGTGGTAGATTAAAAAAAATAACGTTCAGACCTTCTTGGCCATTCCACTGGGAAAGCGAGTAGAGCAGGATACTGTTGAAGGAATCACACAGGTGTCGAACTGTTTTCGAACCCTGGGTGACGTTCCTGACAGTACCCTCTAGCTGACAGCACTTGCCCCTTTGAAAAGGCTCCTCCACTTCCGCTCGGGTGTTTCTCAAAAATCGGGAATTCAGGCGGTTGGTTTCCTTCTGGTTTCCCGTCAAAACCATCCAAACAGCCCTGGTGCTCAGCGGGGAATGAACCCAGCAATTCCCAAATAAAGGAAACCAGAGGATGCAAGGGTTTTCTTGGGGTCATTCCATTTCTCATTCCCTGCACCTCTTGCACCAGCAAGAGAATTGTTTTTTTTGGTTTCCTTTTGGCTTCCCCTCAAAACCATAGCAGGGGACCCTAATTTTGTGAGAAACACCGTTCAGAAACACCCAACATTTCGAGAACAGAGGGTAAAGCCTCCAGCCTGCCACACCCTTTTGGGGCCCTTCGGTCCCTCCACGCTCTCAGCTGCCTTCGGTCCTCTCCACGCTGCGCTGGTGGCTGCCGCATGTCGTCGCCGGGGCCTTGGCGCCTCCCAGCCCGTGCGAGGCGCGTGCGAGGCGCTCGGTTGAAGCATGTGGAGGCCAACCCCTGGTGAAAAAAGTGGGAAAAAAAGCCGGCGTTAAAAAAAAAGGCATGTGGGTATGGGTCAAAATTCAACCACCAGGATATGGACCGCAGATTTTAGTCCTTGGCTCCATGCTCCATTTACCAGGGGTCCGACCAGCCATGTGTAAAACACTCCCTTTCATGTCCCTTCCACGGGGTCGACTGCGAAGATATTCGGTGTTCCGTGGAGACAAGAACAAGGGTTTTATTGACATGCGAAATAATATCATGCCCTTCACCCATGAAAGACATGTCAAGCCCCATATCCCACACTGGGATGAGAGAGGCTTGGCCATCTCTTTCCTCTCTCGCTCCGCCATTCGCGAATCGAGATGCGCAGATGAGAAGGGAGAGATAGAGGGAATGCTTCCATGAGACCCTGACCACCAACCAATCTTCTATACTAGAAAGGGGATCAGGAAGAAGCATATCCCATTCCTTGAGGCTCCCAAGCCATCTTTCTATCTTGAGTATGGCCATGCTGTTGCAATGATTGGTTTCTATTTGGCTCACGGTTTCACATGTTGTTTCCCATCTCTTGCACTCGGCCCCCGTCTTGCATGCGCCGCACGAATCGGCGCATCCAAGACGACACCCAATTGTCCAGTCGTACCTTGCGAGTTTTTGGTTGGATGGGGTTCGCTTCAAATTCAGCCAGCAGGGAAAGGGCACGTGGTTTTTTGCCGCGTGGCCCCCCATAGGGGACCTTGTTGGTCGATCAGCGGTCCAACATTGGGGGTTGTTGAAAAGATAACGGATTAGCACTTGTTTGTGTTTTCACAAAAGGGTCCAACAGAAAGACGGTCCCTGTTTGAACAACCCGCATTTGGGTGTTTCTTTTTTTGGGGGCAGAAGGGGACGTTGTGGAGGCGTTTTTCACATACAATAGTCTGTGTGTTTTTAAGACATTTATTGCAAAAGCAAGCATCTATGGTCTCCACAACGCTTCTCGCAAAAAGTCAGTTCCGATCTTCCGATCGGTTGGGCACTGTGTATTTCAGTAGTAAGAGTAGATTATGCATGTACAGTTTCTAGAGTCGACATGTAGAATTACAGCTGTTGGGGGGGGGGAAAAGAAAAGGAAACAGTTTTCCAAATTCTTCCCCCCCCCCCCCCCCCGGGGCCCCAGACTCAGCCCAGGATCACTGGGGCCCAGCAGGTTGTTCAGGATTTGGGTCGCCTTTAGCTTTACCAGTCCTTGGCCGCTGTTTGCAAAGTTCTAAGATGTCCTGTTGCTTACACAATTTCCTTGAAGATTCATTTGATTACCCCCAAAATGGTGGCTGTCCTTTTGGTTTCCTTTTACAAAGCCAAGCAAACAAGGAGGTACCCTTTAAAGAAAGACAACCCGTATTTGGTTCTACGGCCCCCAGTCCGGGACGAGGTGCAGGGCGAACTGCCGCAGCAGCTGGGTGTGGTGGTGCCGGCGAGTTGACGTGGGACTTGGCCGCCTTTGGTTGCCTGTTGGTGCCCTTACCTCCCAAAAAGGGCTTCCCAGATTTATAACCCTATTTAGAATAGGGTCTGGACCCCCATCCTTCTCAACTGTTTGAGAAGGCTCGCTTTTCCGGGGGAGCCCGCAAAATCCAGAGGACGATTATCCAAAGTTCTGGTATAATCAAACAGAGGCGGCCCGTCAAGGGACCGGATTCTTCAAACTCGAAATTCCCAACTACGAAACAGTTGTGGACAGGTGTTTTTGTCGGCTTATGTTGGGGATCGGCCCAACAATACAGGCTGTGGGGTCAGCAAAACACAGGGTCCGCACATAATTGGTTTCTGCGCTCCAAGACTCCAAGAGGTTAAGGTGGAAAACCCGAACCTCCACTGGCGGCCTTTTGTCCTAATTGTTTGACGGTGGGGGCGGTCCCTTTAAACCGAGAGCACTGCAAAAACAGTGCCTTTATTCTTCTCCCTGGCCAGCCTCCCTTTTAATTCGCCAGACTAGGTCAACATGAGTCTTCCAGGCAACATGTATTTCTATTTTTTCTTATCGGTGAGCGGGGCGGCTATGGGTCCTTTTGGAGGGTGCGTAAACAGAAGCCCTGGCGCATGACTCTTCCGGACAACATGCATTTGTTTTGGAGCCTGTGTGACGTTGAACATGAAAACTCACCTCAGCGCCCCGAACCCTGTTTGAAATTTTGAGTATGCAGCCCTACTAACCGTTTGCACAGGATTTGCTCTAAGGACTGGATAAGTCTTCACAGCCATGTTCGTAGAGCAAGCCAGTGGGCGTTGGTCGTTGCTCACCTGATGTTTGTTTGAACCCCCACCCCTCCCCGGCCCCCCCCCGCCAGTTTTAGGTTATGGATGCGGCTATGAAGGTGGAGCTAATTGGACCCTCGGATCTCCCAACAGGGAAGAACTGGGCTCAGCGACTCTTCCCGGATGGGTCCCTTGAACATCCACCAAGTGCATTTCAGATTTTTCCAGGTTTGGCTGGGTTCCGATTCACCAGGATCCGGTGGTGCTGCGGTACGAGGGAATCTCCCTCACCGCACGGCAGCCCAGATCAGATACGGCAGGCTCTGTTTCCCGCTGAAGGTCAACCTCTTCATGCTGGTTCTCAGAAGGGAATGTGGGAATGAAACCAGGGATGCCCTTAAAGGAAACCACAAGGGGATGACGTGTAGGGATCATTTCCTTATTCTCTGCTGGGCACAAGCAAGTCTTTTGAGGTCCTGTTTTTTCTATGGTCATGTTTGGGTTGACACGGAAGAACGAGCCGCGAATTGTCGGGCCAAACCAAGGCACGAAACCTAGCTTTCACATACTGATAGGATTTTTCGCATACTTTCATTGGGGCGCAATTTTCCACTGTCTTCAGAACATCACCTTCCGGGGCATGGTAAATCTGGTTTCCCTCTTGGAGACACGTAGGCAAAACGAGTTTCTTCCGGAGAGGAAGGCGAATGCTACGAGGTGCTACTCCAATCTGGGGCCAATGTCGCTGTGAGTCTGGTAGAAAAAGGCAAGCGTTTTGGGGTCCACGCTTCTTGGGCCCATCGAATGGCAAGTGTGCCACTGAAGATCTGCGGAAAGGGAAGAGACAGCGCTGGGAAGCTTGAGGAAAGAATGTTGGCCCCAGTTTAGTCAACTCCAGTTATATGGTTGTTTACAGATAAGGGGGGCGTTTCGCTCCAAAAGTGGTCTGATACCATACTCAACCCAGGGACGCGCCTCTATTAAACTGGGGTTGGTTTTTATGGGGTTCACATTGCCTGGCAGATTGTGACTCGGGGGTGCAACTCCCCAGTGATCCGGATCCCTGTCCGGCGAAAGGTGGAATGCTGGAGTGTCATACAAAAAGCCTTAGCCGGTGCTGCAAGGGTTGCCGGCGAAACCAGGAGGATTACACAAATGTTGGCATTGAACAAGCCAGAGTGATTTGGAGTAGAATTCCGCGAGAGTGCGAAAAGTTTGGCATGTGCATTTTGTGGCATCTTGTGGCATAGGATATTCGACTGAGTAGCCGTCGTGTTGGCAGTACCAGCCCACCGCAAGAACGTGATAGTTGGATGAATGGTTTCCAGAATTAACCTGCTTGCTTTTTAATGCAGGAGACCTGCTTCCCTCTTTGGAAGATCCGGTCGTTTTTTCCCCTTTTTCAGAAAACTGGGGTCGAGGCGCCCCTTGTTCGCGTGAATCAGACGTCGGGCCCGAAGGAAGCCCATCCGAATCTCCCCCAAAGATAGCATATGGCTTAGTCAACACTTCACATGGCTACGGGATCCCCCAATGCATGTGTGTTCTGTTGATTTTTTGATTTGTTTTTGGCCATAACCAGAAAGGTCCCCCATTTTTTGGACAGGGCCAAGACAATCTGCACGCCCCAAAGAGCTCGTCAGGCGCGGGACATTGAGCTGCTGGCGGACGAGCAGTGCCTCAACGACTCCGCTGGGGGTCCCGGAATTTCCCCACGCTCACGGGGCAGCTGGGCGATTTTCCGGTTCTCTTGGTTTTGTTGGCCGGAAACTGGTTCACTAAATGGACCATCCCTTCTGTATGGGATCGCCTTCCTTTGGTGCCCTTTGTTACCCAGCGGGGAAATGGAGCCACCGGAGCCAAGATTTTTAAACAAAAACTGGTTGCTCCCTTTTGATCTCCCTTCCCGCCTCTGTGTTACCTAGCAGCGACACGGAGTCACCGGAGCCAAGACGATCTTCGCAAAATCTGGTTGCTCCCCTTCAGATAACCATGGATCCGTGTGGTCATAGCGGTGTTGCTTATGTCCTTGTATTTTCCCCCGATTTCCATGTGAAGTCTGTCTGTGTTCCGGGTATACCTCGCTTCCACCTCAACCTGGCGAGCCCTTCGCCTGGCGGCCTTTTCGCTCCGCGGCTCGCTCCGCGGGTCGGCGGCTGAGGTGCTGGACTTCTTCCTGAAGCTGGCAGTGGATACCGTGGCCCCAGAGCACCTGAAAGGCCCGTGGCGTTTTTGTTTTTTTTTTGCGCGGGTTTTTTCATCTCAGCCCGGTGGCCGAGTTGAAACCAGACTTCGGGGTGTGGAGTGTGGTGTCCAAGGCTTTTTCCAAAGAGAGAGTGCCAACGAAAGCACGAAGTTCTTGTTTCCCATTTTCTCCTTGATTTTTCACTTGGGTTTCAACCTTGGATCGCCAATTACAACGCGTTTCCTCGGGGCAAAGGGGCGCAGTCCAAGGGTTTGGGTCGGCAGCCCTTCCCGAAGCGTCACTCCTTTCGGAAGCTCGTTCTGGGGTTCTGTGCAAAGGGGTTCCGGAAAAAGGGCGAGTTTGTTTTCTGCTTTCCTTCTTTTGTTGAGCTGGTGCGAGAGATGCAGGGAATCAAACATGGAATGACTTCGGAAGAATCTATCCCTCTGATAATATATATATATATATATATATATATATACACATATACATTATATATATATATACATATTCTCGAATTCCCAGGTTCATTCCATTTCTCATTCCCTATCGCACCCGCTGGAGGCCTGGATTGCCCACTTTCCGGTGTCAGTGTCACCGCCGAAGCAATAGGAGCCCTTTTCCCCACATTTGCGGGAAAGCGAAAGAAGCCACAAGGCGCCTCGATCCATTCAGATCGCTGAGCCTTTCTTTTCGTTCTGTCAACCTCCATAACCCCCAAGAGAAGTCAAGTCGTGTGTGGCTCAGAATTGAAGAGCTAGGAACTCGCAGGTTTTAGTCAGTACCTTTCTATTTACCAGTAGCCATTTTGGAGCCCCCATGTTTGAGCACCCAAGTCTCGCCTCTCGCCCCAACTCGCCCGAGCCGGAGGTGACCTCTACGTGGCCAGCACCTTCTTCTTCCAGAAGCTCACCTCCGGCGGAGTGGCCCTCGCCTTAGCTTCGGAGCTTCGGAGCGGTTCCCACCTGAACTTTTCAGCAGAAGTCATAATATGGCTGTGGGTCAAAATTAAGCAACCAGGGGACCGCAGATTTTAGTTCATATTTCCATTTGCCAGGGTTGAATTTTGGGTACCCATTTTTGACCCGCAGCCATATATATATATATGTAGAGAGATATGTATATGTGTATATATGTATATGTGTATCTCCATATGTATGTATATATTTTCCATGTAGGGGAATGGCAGATGTTCAGCTAGGTAAGTAAAGAGTTTGGGGGACAGTCCCCAACCATTGCGGATATGCCCTTCATTCTTTGTTCTTGAGCCCGAGAGCGTACCTACCAGGTTCGTGTGATGAAAGCACAAGCACCTGGCTGATCAAGCAGCATGGCCGTGGTTGGTTTTGTTCGGGATGGGACTTGGTTGCGTGCTCGGATTGGTGGATTCCGCCAGAAAGAATCACTTGGAGCACTTTCAAGAATGGGAACAGGGGCTTTGCATGGCTTGCCGTTCGATCAGTTGGGTTGCCCCCGTTTTGAGCGAGGACATCCCAACCGGGTTGGGCTTCCCTTCAAAAGCCAGCTACTTCCCATGGTGGCAAGTCCTTTAGTCCTTTTTCTGGGGTTGTGTGCCTTTTGATTAGTCAGTTTAATTAACAGGGGTTCAAAACATGATAACCCACCTGTTACTTACATTTGAGTAAAGCGAAACCCTCATTTTTGTATTCGGGTTTTTCCCTCATGTTTTCCCCTCATGTTTTTCTTAGGTTGTTTTTCCTCATTTTGTTCTTCGGGGTTTTTCCCTCATTTTTTTCTTCGGGGTTTTTCCCTCATGTGTTTCTTAGGTTTTTTTCCCCCCTCATTTTTGGTTTCCGTCTGGTCTTCGACTTTCTACCGCTGAAGCCACACGACTCCAGGAGAACGGCGAGGCAGGCTGGCAGAACGTGCGGCGCTGGACGAGGTGGGGTTGGTTGTCTTTTTCCTCGTTTTTTGTTGTTGTTTTGTTTTGGGGGGGGGTGGTGGTGCTGAAACGTCAGCTTTTCATGTCATTTTGACAAATGGGCCTGAATCTAAAAGTAGAACGCCCAGCTTGCACAACGCCCTAGGAAGGTGTGGGTGTCTTTGGCTGCGACCCTTTTCCCCCAACACGCAAAGGGTTCCTTGATAAAAGTCGCCTGAGAGATTGCACACAGACGTGTCACCAAAGAATCGCCTGAGAGACTGAACAGAGACATGCCACCAAGAGATCGTGTGAAAGATTGCACAGAGACATGCCACCAAGAGATCGTGTGAAAGATTGCACAGAGACAGGCCACCAAAACATAGCTTAATAGATCGCACAGAGACAAGTCACCAAGAGATCGCCTGAAAGATTGCACAGAGATGCCACAAACACATCTTTTGAGAGTTGCACAGGGAGATGCCACCAAGAGATCGCCTGAGAGATTGCACAGTTACCACGAGATCGCCTGAAAGATTGCGCAGAGCTATGCCACCAAGAGATCGCCTGAGAGATTGCACAGAGACATGCCACCAAGAGACGCTTGAGAGATTGCGCAGAGACGTCACCAAGAGATTGCCTGAAGGATTGCACAGAGATATGCCACCAAGAGATCGCCTGAGAGATTGCACAGATACATGCCACCAACAGATCGCTTGCGAGATTTCACAGAGACATGCCACCAAAAGATCGTTTGAGAGTTGCACAGAGAGATACCACCAAGAGATCGCCTGAGAGATTGCACAGAGACATGCCACCAAGAGATCGCTTGAGAGATTGCGCAGAGCTATGCCACCAAGCGATCGCCTGAGAGATTGCACAGAGACATGCCACCAAGAGATCGCTTGAGAGATTGCGCAGAGACGTCACCAAGAGATTGCCTGAAGGATTGCACAGAGATATGCCACCAAGAGATCGCCTGAGAGATTGCACAGATACATGCCACCAACAGATCGCTTGCGAGATTTCACAGAGACATGCCACCAAGAGATCGCTTGAGAGATTGCGCAGAGACATGTCACCAAGAGTTCGCCTGAAGGATTGCACAAAAACATCCCACCAAGAGATCGCCTGAGAGATTGCACAGGGACATGCCACCAAGAGATCGCCTGAGAGATTGCACAGGGACATGCCACCAAGAGATCGCTTGAGAGATTGCACAGAGACATGCCACCAAGAGATCGCCTGAGAGTTGCACATCGACATTCCACCAACAGATCTGTTGAGAGTTGCACAGAGACATGCCACCAAGAGATCGTTTCATTTGGGCATTTTGCTTGGCTGTTAGGACTTTAACAACTTTTTGCCAACTCATGGGTATTCCACTAAACCACTAAAAGTTAAACTTTTAGCAGGGGAGCAGAAAGCAAGCGAGGTTTGAGAGATTGCACAGAGACGCCACAAACAGATCGTTTGAGAGTTGCACAGAGACGTGCCACCAAGAGATCGCCTGAAGAAGCGCGAGCACCCTTACTTGTGCGAGCAACTTGTAAAGTGGTCTTGCGCAGAGCAATGTGCACGCCGCAACCTTCGCGGAGTAGTTGCGCGAAGCAACTTGCACGCTTGCTGCCGCACGCTTGCGCGCGCAAAATCGCACGCGCACACTTGCGCGAGGAAGCTCGGGAGAGCACACTTGTATAAGAAAACGCTCGCGATATGGTAAAAGTAGATTTGCTGCGAAGTGGTTTGGACGGTCTCCAGATCATGTGCGGAGCCAAAGTTCGCAGACATCATACGCCTCGCTCTCTATATGTTTTGCTTTCGGGCGCCTGGTTCTTCCAGTTGGGCTTGTGTCCAGGGCCAATTTGGGTATCATCCAAATCAAACATTGGAACCAAGATGGCTTCGGATTCCCTAGGAACCAAGTCCGAAAAGGGCCTCCAAGCCCATTTGGGTGTGGCTCAAAATCAAAGGACTATGGTTACGCAGGTGTTAGTTTTTGGTTTCACTTACCCAGGTGCCATTTTGGTACATGTTCTTGAGCCACAGCCATTTGAGTGGCAAAAAGTCGGCCGTTTTCTCACGAGACCCTGACCCGAGTCGATCCGAGTGAGGGCGTTGCCTGGCGGCTTGCTGGGCCAGAGGCTGGAGCGCTGGTCGCCTCGGCTTTGCCTCAAAGAGAAAAAGCAGCCGACACGGGAGGTGTCCGGAGTGGTGTCCCTTTAAAACCAACCAAGCAAAAGGGCATCCTCAAGAAGCACCGATGTGTAGTTTAGTGTAAGTAGTTGTAAAGGTACAAAAGTCTGTTTTGGGCTCATGTTTAAATCAACATTTTCACCAGGAAGCAGAAGTATATTTCCAGGAAACCAGAACTTCTATAGTGTAAACATTGCCTTGCATGGCGTTCTTCTGCTCTTCTTTTTTCAGCAATGCCTGGCTTGTTCGAAGGATTAAGTTGTTTTTGTGCCAATCGTTCACGTGTATCCAGAAGTTGCATATCCTGGGGTCAATAATGTGTCAATCGCAACTGTTGTACTGTCATATATTTTCCAAATCCTTTCGTTAATCCCAGAATTAGGAGGCTGCAGGATGGACGTTCTATCCAATGTTGGCGCTGCTTTTCGGGAAACCAATCTTTGAACTTACTTCTGTGGGGACGGAGCCAAAAAAGGAATGTGCTCCACCGGGCCAGGGGCGGTGATGGGACAGTCATTTTATCCATGTGTGGATATCGGCCCGTTTGATTCTTTTCCTTTGGTTTCGGGTAGACCGCGCGCATCATGGCTCAACTGGAGGGGTGTTGGGCCAGAAAGCTTGAGGAAAGACCCGGAAGTAGTTGGCTTCCTTTTGTTTTTGGCTTATCAAGCCATAAGCCATCCCAGAGCCCCCACATCCTCCAAAGGGTGTTGAAAGGGTGTTCGATCTGAGGCAAATCATCTTCGAAAGGCGGCTGTCTCTGCACCTCCACGTTTGATTGCGGGAGGATACATCTTGCATGTTGCATTTTGCAAGCTTGTGCATGTTGAGTGGAAGCTAACCGAAAGATGAATGTGCTCTGCTGAATTGCAAACACGGGTGGTGACGTGTTTGTCATTTGCCCCCTTTGGATTTACATGGTCACCGCCTTGACCGGTGGATGTGGTTTTTGAGTGGCAACTTAGGCAAGGGCTTTCTCCCCTGCACTCTTCCGGGAATCAAACCTACGTGTTTGCTGGGATTCACTAGCGCAGGTTTTCTGCTCCTAAGTCCGAACGTTTCGACGCAGGTTCGTGGTCATCCCCATCAATGAGCAGAATATCCATTGGTGGCCGCGGCCCTGAAAACTTTTCCGACGCACCTCATGGTTGGTAACTGCCGGGTTGGTAGAGAATCATCCTCTTCCTGGCACAGGAAGGAAGTTTGGACCAGTGTGGTCTCTGTGTGGTTGTGGAAGATTGGTTTATCTTGCCCATAGAGAAGCGTTTTAACTTGGCAATGTGGCCTTTGTCATGGCCCTTCTTGATATGACAAGGGCTATGATTCGTATCTATGCAGCTACTTTTCCAGAAATGTTTGTAAATGGTTTGTCAGAACCCCAAGCGTAGACATGCTCGAAGGCATTCGAATACTTCCTCGCAAGATGCAAACAACACTTTGGTCTTTGATCCGTCGAGCTTTTGGCATGGGCCGAAACAAGCAGATGAAGAGCGCGGGGAATTTCAGATGCCCAGATGCCCACTCCGCAAGATCATCTCAGTCAAAAAGAAAACCGTTCCTGAGATCTCCAAGGATTGAGGGAGCCAAGGTGTTCTGGGCAAACTAAAATGAGCTCACCTGGGCATGAAAAGAGCTCACCCATGATGAAGGTTCCTTACTACAGCATTCCTTGCATCCATTTTGTTAGTCATTTGCACAAATACCTCCGGGGGTTGCAAGAACAACCTTGACACCATTTAGCTGGCGATTCGGCCATGTTGAGGACGCAACTTCTTCAGACGTCTGGGGAAGTCGCCACAGTGTCCGGCCCTTTGTTTTAGATATGATTCGGATACTTCTACCCCCAAAAAGGTCGGAATCGTGGATATCTAAAGCAAAGGACGTTACCCCCAAAAAAGCCTGGGATATGTTTAGGATCTACGTGGGTTTCCTATGGTACCCTCGGGCCACGTGTGGAGGGCCCCCCCCGAGGCTGGCGGTGATTTGCCACGCGCGCCGGGCCCTGGAGCCGGACGGGGAGACCATGCTGGGGGAGGCGACCGGGGCGCGGCGACCGCTGGGAATTTTGGCGTTCCTTTCTTTCGGGGGTTGGGTCGCCCTTTTTTTGGGTGGTTTTAAAGGGAAGCCCTTTGGTGGCATGGCGTTCCCTTTTTTCAGGGGTTGGTCAAAGCGCTTCCACTCCCCGATCGGTGGAAGGGTCTGCCTCGCCTCGCCTCGGTACAGCACGCGCGTCGCCTGCCGCTCCAGCACCCGCTTCACGGCCTTGTACATGTAGCAGTGCCCGTCGAAGGCCAAAAAACACACGGTGCGGTGCTCCTTCAGCACCGGGTCGTAGCTGTCCACGAGGTCGCCCTGCAAGCTTAGCACGCGCATCGGTGCGTTGCGCCACACGCAGAACTCCCGCACCTCCTCGGCGGAGATGCTGAGGCGCCTCCAGTCGTGGCGCAGCATGGCGTCGAAGTCGGCGCACACATCCTCCACGCTCAGCTGCAGCAACTCGGCCAGCTGCCGGGGCACGCACAGGGGCTTGTCCTCGAAGGCACTCGGCAGCACGTCCTCCTCGCAGGGCAGCTGGAAGCTCACGCTCTTGAGGCCCCTCATGAATGCGTCGGCTCAGGAGCGTCTCCACCTCGGTCCTCGAGTTCCTGTACTGAGTGCTCTGGGTGCTGACCACCCAATGCCCCTCCGGGTCCAAGAAGTAGGTCTCGTCCGAGAGCTGGAGGGTTTGGGCGTTCGGGTCGCCCAGCGAAGCTCGACTTGCTGTTTGACTCGCTGCGCCACCTGCTCCTCCGTCAGGCCTCGTCATGGCCCCGCCCAGCTCGTTCACGGGCTGCTGCGCCTCCTGCCGCGGATGATCGCAGGCACGTGGACCAGTCCCGCAAGTTCGTGAGTCGGTGCTCCCCGCCCTGCAGGATTTAGTCGCTCGGGCCTTCCCGGATCAGCGGCTGGTTGTAGTCGCAGTGCCTGCTGGGAGGGCGCAGGCCCAAGTGCGAGTAGCAGTGCTGCCCCGCGCGGGTCAGCTGCCCGTCCGCACGCGAGAGCAGCGCGTAGGCCCCCGGGCCGCGCCGTAAGTTCAGCACGATGGCTCCATCCGCCCGCGTGCGAGCCCTGGCGCCGCCGTCCGCGGCCTCCGTGATTTGTCGTTGTCTCGCCCAACTTGCCATTTTTTTTCGGGGCCAGTTTGTTGTCGGTTGGACGCGCCGCGGTGCCGGGGATGCCTCTGAGATTGGAAAAACGCGGTTGGGCGGACCAGTGTCAATAGCAGTTGGGCGAGCCAGTATCAAGAGCAGTTGGGCGAGCCAGTATCAAAAAAAATCCCAGGCCTGCGTCGCCAGCATACCTCGGACCAGAAAAAACCGTCCAGGTCAGCGTCCTCAGTATCATCCGTGGTCTGCCCAAAAAGAACGAGGGCATCATTTTGCTTGATTTTTGGCATGGCGTGATTTTGCATGATTTTTTGCATGTCTTGGAACAACAGCGTGCGCGCTCCAAAAATTGGATTCCTTATTTGAGGAGGCGCGCTGATAAGCGACCGCTGTGTTTCGAGCACTTTCGCTGTTTTCGCTTAGGTTTCGTGACACGTGAGGCCGTTTTCCAGGTTGCCGGTGGACCTTTTGCTTGTGGCGTTGGGGGTGGGGGGGGGGTGGGGGGGGTGTTTGCGGCATCAGCAGGCGCTCGTTAGTTTTGGCCCAGCATGGAGGAGTTTCGGGAGCGCCTGGCCTTAGTGTTGCTCCTTCGGGTGGCGCATGTGCGTTTGCCGCCTCTCTTGTATTTGCTTTCTTCTGTTTCCGTACATTTGGTTTTGGGTGTCTTTTGGCTTGATGATTCGTGCACAGCTTGTCGTCTCGCCAGCTGGGTGGCCTGTGGTCTTCCGACGCAGCTGTGAACACTTACGGCTTCGTGCCCCGGGCTCCGGATTCCGCATGGGACCCTCTGCGGCATGGGCTTCTCCTGGCGCCAGGGTGCGCCAAGGAGGTGCGCCAAGAGGAGGGTTCAAGCTCCGGAAGAACGCCGGCAAACCCTTGCCCAAGTACTACCAGGCACACACGTGCATTGTCGCAGGGAAGATGCGGCAAAGCAAGCCAGGTCTTCGAGGAGGTCGAGTCGCCATCCAATGGCTGCCGTGGGAGTTGGTGCCACCACAGGCTTCTCCGCCTGTGGAATCTCAGAAAGCGCCGGGTCCATCCATGAGTTTCCATTCTTTGTGTTAAGCCCGCCTCTTTCTAACTCTGATTCCTGTTTTGTGTTGCTGGCAAGTGCGCCTAGCGGGCTCAGGAAATTCGCAGCGTGAAGATTCTGCGACATGTGAGACGGTCTGGGCGGGACAAGGCAGTGCTCTTTTCAGATGGGGCGCTGGCCTGGCCGGCAGAATGCAAAGTTTTGAAGCTTAAGAACAAATTTATGTTTGCCATGGGCGCCAACAATTCGCCGGCAGAATTCGAAAGCAGAGGGCAGGAGGCGTCACGACTGCCGGGACACAGGTGCTGGACAGGTGGTGGCAGGGGCTGGATGAGCTTGTGCCCCCGCAGCTACACAATAAACATGACCATGGGGAAAACCCCATCCTTCGCAGGTACGCCTATGCTTACCTGTGGATGTATCATATCCCAAATGGGACCAATTTGCTAGATGCCTTTGGGGGAATCTTGTGACAAAGCAATGTCGAACTTGTAGCACGTGACAAAACACACAGCACGAACCCTATACACAGCATGACCCTAGCATGGACACCTGTTCTTTACCAAACGTTGAAGTGCACTTAAGACCTGGCGAGGGGAAACAAGAACGAAGCCGCATGGATGAGAGACACAAAGAGCGCTTCGAACGGCAGGTGCGAGGCAGGCGGGCGTGGGCGCGGGGCTAAGGCGGCATGCATGATTTCATGGAATAGACCACGGTCAAATATCAACACGTGACCTTATTTGAGCACTGGTTGAAGCGCTCCCCTCCCCAAAAACAAACTAGGAATACCACCTATTTGCGGAACTTGGGCAAGTGCCTTCATTAGACAATTTGCAGTTTCTGACTCTCGAAGAGCTCAGCCCCGTGGCGCTACTACGACATGACAGCAGGAGATCAACAGGCAGCGTCAGCAGGCGTACAACCAGCACGTGCAACAACAGCAGCAGCACAGGTAGGAAGCGCATTCGCAATGGCAGGTCTGGCGCTTGGAAATCCAGGCATCGGGAGCAGCGGCCTGGCAGGAGCTCGCTGCCAAGATGGGGGCGTCGGAGGACAGGTTGCCGTTGGGCGAGTCAGTACGAAAAACTCGCACCCCCCCAGACCCGTTGGCGAGTCAGTACCAAAAAAACCCCAAACCCCCCCAGACCCCCGTTGGGCGAGTCAGTACCCGTTTGGCAAGTCAGTACTAAAAAAACCCGCACCCCCCCCAGGCCCGTTGGGCGAGTCAGTGCTAAATTAAAAAAAACGCACCCCCGCCCCCAGACCCGTCGGGCGAACCAGTACTTGAAAAACACCCAAACCCCCCGACCCGTTGGGCGAGTCAGTACTAAAAGAAAACCGCACCTCCCAGACCCGTTGGGCGAGTCAGTGCTAAAAAAACCCGCACCCCCCCAGACCCGTTGGGCGAACCAGTACTTGAAAAAACCAAAGCCTCCCCAGAACCGTTTGGCGAGTCAGTACCAAAAAAACCCAAACCCCCCAGACCCGTTGGGCAAGTCAGTACTAAAGAAAACCCGCACCCCGGGCGAGTCAGTGCTAAAAAAAACGCACCCCCCCAGACGCGTTGGGCGAGTCAGTGCTAAAAAACCACCCGAAGTGAGCGCTGCGGAGCTCAGGGAAGTGCCCATAGTCGAGCTCTTCGGCCTCGTTCACGACGAGGACTTCACAGTGGAAGGGGTCCGGAAGGCTTACAAGCAAAGACAATCAGAAGGCAGATAATGCCTCACAAATACGACCAGCAACTATTGGACTGTGTACACACAGGTCCATGGAAGACACAAGCATCAGCACTGCCTACACCGACTCTCACACCACCAGCAACAATGCCATCAGCAAGCAAAACAATTACATCACAGAAGGATGCAGCAACAAGCACAGCAGCAGAAAACAGGAGAGCCTGTGGCACGCCGTGGTAGTGAATGTGGAAATTCTGTTTGCAGGGGGTAGGCTGTAGGCGTAGTGACGGCTGTCCACTCGGGTGGAGTTGTCTGGCGTCGGAGTCGGATCCCCAATAGTTGCCCCACTACGAGCCGCCCGCGTTTGCGAATCACTTGGTGCCTGCAAGCGTGCAGTGCTTCAAACGCTTCTCGGATCGAGGAGGCTTGCGCACCGACAGAGGGCTTCAAGAGCTCCGAAACCGGCACCAACTCCAAAGCCAGCACCAGCTCCAAAGCCAGCACCAGCTCCAAAGCCAGCACCAGCTCCAGCTCCAAAGGCACCAGCCTCAAAGCCGCCCCAGAGCCGGCACAGCCGAAGCCGTGCCAGCGCCTGCTCCAAAGCCAGCACCAGCTCCAAAGCCAGCACCAGCTCCAGCTCCAAAGGCACCAGCCTCAAAGCCGGCACCAGCACTAGCCCCAGAGCCGGCACAGCCGAAGCCGGCGCCAGCACCTGCTCCAAAGCCGGCACCAGCCTCGGCTCCGGTTCCAAAGCCAGCATCAGCACCACGGGGCTGCGAAGCCGGCGCCAGCCTCGGTCCCGAATCAGAAGCCGGCTGAGCCAAAGATGAAGAAGCAAAAGCGCCAGTCTGACGAGGAGGAGAATCGCGAGAGAAGGCCTGGGGTGACATCGAGAACAGGCCGCCCCGCCGAAATGCGCTCCTTGGAGCCTCGAGTGGGAGACGGTCTACGAGCCAATCAACCCGGAGCAGGCAGAGTTTGCACTTTCTTTGCCTGCAGGACGCAACATTGTTTGTGGAGCTGATGGTTCTGTGGCACCTCCCACACGCCAAGAAATTGAGTGGGCGTCGCTACTTGGGGCTTCCTGGGCAGGAGCGCTTTTGCAGCCTCCAAGCTGGTGAAGACGGTGGCTCAGGGCCAACCGTATCAAGAATGAAGGCAGCTTTCCCGACGGCTTCACCCTGCACCTGGAGCTCGGGAATGTGGAGACTTGCGACCAAACCCTTCTGCCATTCTGCGGGCTTTTCAAGAAGAGCGTGGCATCCGACCAGCCGGCGATGAGCTTCAAGAAACAGGTAAAGCGACTCCTGCTGGCCATGTCCAACGGTTCCGGTGTGGGGAACTGGCTCCAGAACGCTGGCATCCACGTCTCCAGCGAACTCAAAGACTTCGAGAACTCGCAGCTGCTGCGCACATGGAAAGCACAAACCGGAAGTACCACGCCATTGTGAGCAACTGCCATCCCGACTTGCTGCAGTTCTACAAGTCCCAGAACAAGTGGTACCCCGAGTTCACCAACGCCTTGGACGAGCGGGATGAGAGGCTTGGCGTGGACAAGCTGATGCAACTTGCCGAGCGAGTCGATGGCACCGTCGAAGCATGACGGAGTGGTCTTCTGCGGGAGTCCTACAACGAGGCCAGCCTGATGGCCCAGGTCAGGAGAGTGTCCCAAGGCTTGGCCCTGCAGCACCAAAGCCTTGGACTTATTCTCCTGCTCCATCCACACTGCAACTTTGCTGGGCACGTGGAAGGCTGACAACTCAAACCTGCTCTTGTGGATGAGAGTGCTGGCCCCCATCTCTTCTAGACGGTTCAGCTCAGCAGCTGCGTCCCAAGATGGGGCCAAATCAGGACGTTCCAGCAAGCTTCTCCTCCTTCGCCTCCACCCAAAGCTCACCCACGTATTGAAAGCCTCTCTCAACAACAAAGTCGGTGAATTTAGAGAAGTTCAAGCGCGTCCGACTCTTTGTTGCTTGTAGCGGCGCATGGAGGGCCTTGGCATTCTTCGCCCTGCAGCAGCTGCAGACGACATGGACTCAACCTCCTTCAACGCTTTTTGACGGTTGAAAGCGCTACCCAACCCGGCGGGGCTTCAAGCGGGTGTCTGGCCTTGACTTGATTGCCTTCCTGGACAACTGGCAGGTGGCCAAGTCGGCAGTGGGGACGAACACATTCAGGGAGACTAGCCACTCCCTTCGGCGACATCCTCTTCAAGAATGCCAACGACACAGTGGAGCTCTTCACCACGCGTGGGGTTTGGATCTCGTGCCGGAACGTGAAGGACCTGGACGACGCGATTGCCAGGGATTGCAAGTGGCTCTAGGCCGGGGGCCACCTACCTCTTCGACGACAGAGTCCGCGGGGCCGAGGACTGCAAGCCGGTGTTGGCCGGCCTGGCCGGCAAGGCAGCGGGCTACTGCGACGAGTACCCGAACCGCAGGATCAACCCGGAGACCGTGAAACCGCTCATCTGCGCATCAAGCAAATCGGAGCTTAAAAAAGCATGAGAAGAGAACATGAAACGAACGAGCTCAGACCTTGCTTAAAAATGGAACCCAGTGCCTGGTTCACGAAAATGTACTCTGGGGTGAGATCCCAGATCTTGTCTGCCACCCCGACGGTTTGCATTTTTTGACTCAAAGCCCCGGGCAATAAATAAGTTTTTTTCACAAATCCTCCCCCTTCAGGGCAGCGAGACGCACAAGCGCGGCAACGAGCGGCAATAGGCACTCCTCTGCAGCGGCGCGTTCGTGCCGGAGTGCTTCTGGTTCTGAGGAAGCTGTTCCGCTTCGTGAACGACGACAGGATCGTCAAGGGGCGGCCGCTACCCCAAGCGCTGTCCGTAGCCCCCCACCTGGAGTCCGTGCGGGAGGAGGACAGTGCCATGGAAGGGGCTGCAGCTCTTCCAAGCAGTCCCCAGGGCTCGACAAGGAGACAACAAGCTCCTCGTGCAGAAGACTTTAAATCCTGGGCGCAGCGGGCAACACCGAGCACTTCTTCGCGAGGAACGGCATCAGCACAGAGCATGCAAGGAGCACCAGTGGCGCCCGACTCTACCCGGTGCTGGTTCGCATCTCCGAGTCCGGCAAGTCGTTTTTGAGATTGAGGCAGAGCACGCGTGAGCAGGCTCTCTCCGAGTTTGGGAGCAAGAAGGTTGGGCGGGGGTCTCGACACACCTTTGCCACATTGCCCACCGCGGTCGACCCTGCACCTTAGGAGGAGCAAGGAGTCGTTTCTTTCGTACAGTCATTTCCGTGCATGCTTGCTCACTGGTACAGAGGCGGGCTGGCTTTGCGCGTGAACATCGCACAGCTGTGGAACAGGTCCAAAAAACAGTCATAGCGCGGGTTGTAGCTTGACAACCCCGCCAAAAAAAAGACTCAATTAGGCCTCCCCTTTATATCCAGTGAACCCTGAAATTTGGCCTCCAGTCGTTCGACGTGTCATCAAGTCTGATTTTTTCAAGGCTTTTGAAACATCTTGCTTGTCGCTTCTGTGTTTGAGCGCTAGCGGGAGCCTCAAAAAAACTTGTTTTTGCTCGAAAAAGGATTAGGTCTGTCGGTGTGAAGAGTCACCCCCTCAACCCATCTGCGGGTTGTGGTGTTAGCGCCTGCGCTCCAGTGCCATCGACCCGCAGCCTCGAGCGGACCCGAACTTGGACAAGAACTTGGACAAGGAACCTGGACAATTTTTATCACGTGTTTTCCTCTTGCGGGGCCACTTGTCCAAGTTCGGCCAGGAACTTGGACAAGGAACTTGGACAACCGCGGGCTGCCTTTTACCAGCAACAGCAGACTCGAATGCATGGTAACAAGGCAGCCCACGGTCGTCCAAGTTCCTTGTCCAAGCTCGCCCGGGAACTGGACAAGTGGCCCTGCAAGAGGAAAACACGTGATAAAATTTGTCCAAGTCTCGGGGTGGCCCGGACGAAAACGGTCCGACCTCACACACACGGCAGTCAGGGAAAAACACTTCGAAGGGGGAACGTCCACCAGCGAGTTTTTTGGGGGTGAACCACACGCCGTTTGTTCCAAATCAAGCAAGATCACACAATCCAAGCAAAATCATGCAAAATCATGCCAGGTCAAAAATCGCGCAAAAATTCATGTAAGCCATAGAAGCAGAGGCCTAAACAATGCCTCAAAACCAGCTTTTTTGCGCCAAAAAGGGGCTTCCTCAGGATCAGTCAAATCCGACCAAGCCTGAAGAGCCTCAAAAACGTTTTTCACACACACAAAAAGGCTTGATCAGTCGATGGTCCTTGGCCTACTCGGAGGCCCCAGGAAGTCGTCCAGCTGCCTCGCTGCCTGGGGCGCTGGCAGCGCCAGTTTCAGCAGAGTTTCCCGCCCCTCAGTGCTCCGGACGGTCATGGAGTCTCCACGGCCTGAGCTGACGTCACCGTACTGGGTTGAAGCTCCTTGCTGCGTTCGTCGGTGCTCGAAAAGCCCCCGCGTCCTCCACTGCGCGTGGCCGGCCACGGGCACTGGGGAAGTCGGCCGCGGAGGGGCCAACAAAACTTTTTGTTGGGTGGTTTTAAAGGGAAGCCGAACTTGGACACCCATCATTTTGGTGGGCCCAAGCTTAGAAAGACACGCCCAAATGTTGTTGTTTATTAGCTTCTGGTTGTAGTCCTATTGGTGTTTTTTGTGTCCGTGCTGGTTGGTGGTTGTGGTTTGTTTTGTGTTTTTGGCGGTTCCGAATCCACGGGTTTTGATAGCCCATGACTCGAAGGACTCCTGGAGTTCAGCTGCAAACGCCGCTTCAGGTTACTACTTGGTTTGGACTGCTGGAACTGGGGATTTGAAGCGCTGGCTTTTGTGGAGGGTAAATGGGAAACCCTTGAGAAACCCCTAGGACCACCAAAGCAGCAATTTTAACCAACAATTAGAGGGAAGCTGCCCTTCCTTGTTTGTTTTCACCAACTTGGGAAGGCTCAAGTCTTTTCAGCTTCACGCCTCTGAGAAACTTGCAGCTTGATTTGACCGAATTGGATACAGGGGCCCCTCAGTTGTAAGCCTCAGCCGCGTAGATTCCCACAAATCAGCTTCTCATGTTTTGCCAGCTAAACAGATGGCCTTGGTTCGCACCAGCCGCTATGCGCGACTCATGACCTTTTCTTTGGTTATGAGGGTTGATGCGAAAAGGGCAGCAAAAAACCGTACCCATAGCCTTGTCTTTGCACTAGTTTGTTTGGCAATCCAAGCCACTGGTGCGGGCCCGGCGTTTGGTTTCTCCGTCCCCCGTCTAAAAGTCCCAAGAGCAGAACCCCAAGAAACCTCGAGGTCCGTCGCTTTCGCGAGAGCCTGCGCCGCAGGCGCCGCGGATCGTGTGCCTCGATTCGGCCATTGAGCCCCTGCTGAAGGGCCGCGTGGTCGCCTTCCTCAGAGGCTGGCGGCTGGCCCGGCTCCAGCATTTGCCGGGTTCATCTCCCACGAGGCAAACCATGTGTCAAGATGATTTGCGCAGATTAAATCAGCCCAGACCTCCCGTGCCGCTTGTGGACCGAGCCATAGTGAGTGACAAAGTAAGAACATGGACCCCCCAATTGCGGATTTCCCACCCATTGCCTGGCTGATATCTCCAATATGTGCTAGCACCAGTTGAGCTGTTGTTTTTGGTATTCACAGGGCTTCATCCATCACAGGTGCAAAGCGGATTCTACCCATCCACAGCATTGGTTGGGTATTCCAAGTGATGAACACTTGACATCAAGAGGGCGGGTGTGGGGTTCTTTATCCCCGAAAGTCATGCGATTCAGCCCCTTTGTATCTCCGGGCCCCGGGTTTTGCATGGCCCTAGCGGGCCATGCAGTCGGGTATGGGGTTTTGCACGAGCGGTGCCCCTTGTCCTTCTGATTTTGGCGGGTGTGCGTGCTTTTTTTCGGGGACCCCCCCCAAAAAAATGTGGTCTTCCTTTTGGTCTTAAAAGCCACAAAAAGAAGGTACCCTCAAAAGGGACACAGCCAGCTAGCCAAAACGAGTGGCCACGGTCTGGGTACAACCAGGCCCTGGTGCCCTGTAGGGAAACCGAAGGCTGTTTGAAAGTGTGTGGTTTCAACACTGGGCCGAGCTTGGCCAAACCAAGCAAAGTGCCTTGCTAGGTCCCCTAGTACTGCCCTTCTTTCCCTTATTTTTTGGGGAGGGTTCCCCTAAAACAGGCTACAGATAAAAAAAAATCATCGGGTACCTTTATTCTAACCAGCTTCTGTGATGGCCACCGGTCTGAAAAAGAAAAAGAACCGCGCAGGGCGATTCGCCAGGCTATTTGTGGAAGGAGTGGTGCGAGCGGCACCCGAACGCCAGGGATCCCAGCTTCTTGGGGGGGACCTTGCTTGGATGCTCGAAGCCAAGCAACCGACGAAGCGCGGATCAAAAAACAATCCATTTCTTCTTCCTTTTTTTTTGAGGGTGGGCCATTCTCACGGGTTTGACGGGCAAGAGCGAAGCGACCATTTTTGACGGCCCCTTTGACACATACGCTGGTTTATGAGCCCAAACCATTGAGGTTTGGTCAAAAATAGCGGTAGTCTATGGCTTATTTGCGAGGCCGGAACTCATGAAATGTCCAACGAAAGCCAGGTGACACGAATTGTTCCATGTCCTGGCGAAAGTTTGACTGCACCAACCAAGCCCAAGTGTTCTTTGACCCTTTGCGAAAAAGCCACAGCTGTGCCCCCAATGTGGGTGTCTCAAATTGGGTTCACCAGTTTGGACTTTCAGTTTGAGAAACGGCACAAGAAAGGGCGGTACCCGGCGGATAGACTGCCCCCACCAGTCCTATGTCCTAGACAGAGAGATAGGGTGAAACGTCGGAGCAGAGTGTTTGTTTTCTAGTTTGTATGCGTTGCATTGCTTTGCTGTGCTTTGCTGCGCTGTGCTTTGCTGTGCTTTGCTGTGCTTTGCGTTGCTTTGCTCTTCTCTGCTTTGGTCGGTTGGTTAGTTGGTGGATTGTTTGTCTGGTTTTGTGTGGTGTGTTTTGGGTTGGGTTGGCTTAGTCTGGTTTGCGTGCTTGTGTGCTTGTTGACTTGTTTGTGTGCTTCGCTATGGTTTGTTGGTTTGGTTTTGCGTTTGTTGGTTGTGTGTTGATTTGTTTTGTTTGCGTATTGTGCTTGCGTGATTGCTTGGTTGCTTGATTGCTTGATTGCTCGTTTGTTTTCTTGCTTGCTTTCTTGTTTGTTCGTCTTTGTTTGTGTGTTTGATTTGTATTTGGGTGCGGATTTATTTTGGGATTTTTTTTCGTTTTGTTTTGGGAATTTTTTTCGTGTTTTTCGTCCGGGCCAGAAAAATGTCGTATTTTACAGCATTTTCTCGCGAAATTGACGCATTTTACACTAGCTCGTCAACATCCCCAGCATCGTTTTCAACATCCCCCGCATGTCCGACCAACATCCCTAGCATCACCAACAAATCGTGGGTAACAAAATCCAAAAATGTAGCTGGCGGGTTGACGGGGTCAAAACAATGATGCTTCAAACAGGAGGGCATTTCAATCCCAGCAAAAAAAATACAAAAAAACAATTAAGAAAAACAGAGCGGGGTAGTGATGATTCGAACAGGGGTGCAATTAAATCTCTGCAAGAAAGGGTGTGATAGCATTTAAAAGGCAGCGGGAGGGTTGGCGGGGGTGGCTTCCCCTATGATGTTCGAAGAAATGCATACGTACAGACATACACGGACTACACAGATTACCTAAAATGTCGTATTTTGCAGCATTTTCTCGCGAAATTGGATGCTCGAAAAAGTGATGATTCAAACAGGGGTGCAATTCAATCTCTGCCGGGCCAGTAAAGTGTCGTATTTTACAGCATGTTCTCGCGAAATATACCCCGCATGTCCCACCAACATCCCTAGCATCACCCACAAATCGTGTGACGGGGTCAAAGAAATGATGATTCAAGCAGGAGGGCATGTCAATCCCTGTAAACAAATATAAAAGTAGCGGGGGGGTTGGCGGGGGCGGCAGCCCCCCCACGATGTTGTTTGCAGAAGTGATGATTTGAATAGGGGTGCAATTAAATCTCTGCAAAAAGTCTAAAAAGTAGCGGGGGGGTTGGGGGGGGCGGCAGCCCCCCCCCATGATGTTCGAAGAATTGATGATTCAACTAGGCGTGCAATTAATTAAATCTCTGTCGAAAATCTAAACGTAGCGGGGGGGGTTGGGGGGGGGCGGCAGCCCCCCCATGAGGTCGGAAGAAGTGGTGATTCAAGTAGGGGTGCAATGATTCAAGAAAGGGTGTGATAGAATTTACAAGGCAGCGGGAGGGTTGGCGGGGGTGGCTTCCCCTATGATGTTCGAAGAAATGCATACATACAGACATACACGGACTACACAGATTACCTAAAATGTCGTATTTTGCAGCATTTTCTCGCGAAATTGGATGCTCGAAAAAGTGATGATTCAAACAGGGGTGCAATTCAATCTCTGCCGGGCCAGTAAAGTGTCGTATTTTACAGCATGTTCTCGCGAAATATACCCCGCATGTCCCACCAACATCCCTAGCATCACCCACAAATCGTGTGACGGGGTCAAAGAAATGATGATTCAAGTAGGAGGGCATGTCAATGCCTGTAAAAAAATATAAAAGTAGCGGGGGGGTTGGGGGGGGCTGCCCCCCCCACGATGTTGTTTGCAGAAGTGATGATTTGAATATACACGGACTACACAGATTACCTAAAATGTCGTATTTTGCAGCATTTTCTCGCGAAATTGGATGCTCGAAAAAGTGATGATTCAAACAGGGGTGCAATTCAATCTCTGCCGGGCCAGTAAAGTGTCGTATTTTACAGCATGTTCTCGCGAAATATACCCCGCATGTCCCACCAACATCCCTAGCATCACCCACAAATCGTGTGACGGGGTCAAAGAAATGATGATTCAAGCAGGAGGGCATGTCAATCCCTGTAAACAAATATAAAAGTAGCGGGGGGGTTGGCGGGGGCGGCAGCCCCCCCACGATGTTGTTTGCAGAAGTGATGATTTGAATAGGGGTGCAATTAAATCTCTGCAAAAAGTCTAAAAAGTAGCGGGGGGGTTGGGGGGGGCGGCAGCCCCCCCCATGATGTTCGAAGAATTGATGATTCAACTAGGGGTGCAATTAATTAAATCTCTGTCGAAAATCTAAACGTAGCGGGGGGGGTTGGGGGGGGGCGGCAGCCCCCCCATGAGGTCGGAAGAAGTGGTGATTCAAGTAGGGGTGCAATGATTCAAGAAAGGGTGTGATAGAATTTACAAGGCAGCGGGAGGGTTGGCGGGGGTGGCTTCCCCTATGATGTTCGAAGAAATGCATACATACAGACATACACGGACTACACAGATTACCTAAAATGTCGTATTTTGCAGCATGTTCTCGCGAAATATACCCCGCATGTCCCACCAACATCCCTAGCATCACCCACAAATCGTGTGACGGGGTCAAAGAAATGATGATTCAAGTAGGAGGGCATGTCAATCCCTGTAAAAAAATATAAAAGTAGCGGGGGGGTTGGCCAGCCCCCCCCACGATGTTGTTTGCAGAAGTGATGATTTGAATAGGGGTGCAATTAAATCTCTGCAAAAAGTCTAAAAAGTAGCGGGGGGGTTGGGGGGGGCGGCAGCCCCCCCCCATGATGGTCGAAGAATTGATGATTCAACTAGGGGTGCAACCCCCCCATGATGTTCGAAGAATTGATGATTCAACTAGGGGTGCAACTAATTAAATCTCTGCAGAAAATCTAAAACGTAGCGGGGGGGTTGGGGGGGGCGGCAGCCCCCCCCATGATGTCGGAAAAACGCCACCTGCCGAAGAGGAACTGGGAATGCAAGGATGCGAAAAGCCAAAAAGCCACCAAAAGCCGCATAAACCAGCAAAAAGCCGAAAAGCCTAGAAGCCCAGAAGCCGAGAAGCCAAGAAGCCGAAAAGCCAAGAAGCCAAGAAGCCAAGAAGCCAAGAAGCCAAGAAGCCAAGAAGCCAAGAAGCCAAGAAGCCCAGAAGCCGAGAAGCCGAGAAGCCAAGAAGCCGAAAAGCCAAGAAGCCAAGAAGCCAAGAAGCCAGGAAGCCGAGAAGCCAAGAAGCCAAGAAGCCCAGAAGCCCAGAAGCCGAGAAGCCGAGAAGCCAAGAAGCCGAAAAGCCAAGAAGCCAAGAAGCCAAGAAGCCAAGAAGCCAGGAAGCCGAGAAGCCAAGAAGCCAAGAAGCCAAGAAGCCAAGAAGCCAAGAAGCCCAGAAGCCGAGAAGCCCAGAAGCCGAGAAGCCAAGAAGCCGAAAAGCCAAGAAGCCAAGAAGCCAAGAAGCCAAGAAGCCAAGAAGCCAAGAAGCCAAGAAGCCCAGAAGCCGAGAAGCCGAGAAGCCAAGAAGCCAAGAAGCCGAAAAGCCAAGAAGCCAAGAAGCCAAGAAGCCAGGAAGCCGAGAAGCCAAGAAGCCAAGAAGCCAAGAAGCCAAAAGCGAAAAAAAATCCCAAAAAAAAACGAAAAAAATTCCTAAAATAAATACCCCTCCTTTGTATTTTCTGCTTGTAACGTGCGGTATGGAATGTGCTGTCTTCGTTGTGTGGTTTGCGGTCCCTTTGAGGCGACAGCCTTTGATGAGGACAAGGCTGGGGTGTGGACAAAGTCCATGAAGGGACTGTGAAAATTTTCAGAGGGCTCCCAACAGGGAAGGGTTTTTCACAAAAAGGTTTGGAGGGTGAAAACACAACGGTTTCTCCATTTTCAAAGAGAACCGGCTCAAAGGCGGTTTGATATGTCTGCAGTGTCAGAACAACCACCCGCACGTGTCATCGGTTGCCTCCATCGGATCCCAACGCTTTGGTTTCCGGCTGGGGCCAATGGTTTACCAGTTTAGTCCTGCAGGTTTGTGAACACCAGTTCTTTACAGCGCAAATCTTGGTTGGTCCAACCCTGTCCACCCCTCCCTCGCTCTTGTGGGTTTAGGTTGGGATCATTCCACCCCCAAGATTCAAAGGGTACTCCACAAGAGCCAGCAAAACTGCTTTTGGAAGCAGTGGGTCCAGCAGCCTTTTGCTTGTCCATTTGCTTGTAGGGAATGGGTTTCCGCTTCGATTTCTTTGTGGATCGGATGGGAGCAACCCTGGTGGGCGTCCCAAGAGTGGCTGTTTGGGACTGGTCCGTCAAAAGGGATCTGCAAGAAGCAGGTCTGGTTGGTTGGCCTGGGCGATCCTTTCGAAGTCACCGAACGAACAACTGCCTTTTCTTCCCCGCGTTCAAGCAAGACTCCTTGTGTTTTTTATTGGTTGGTGTGTTGAACCATCCAACGGCGTATTCTTGAGCCCATGGCTTTTGGCAATACCTGCTTTACCAATGGTCGACATTGGTCAACAATCCCAGGGAAGATCAATGATAGGCAAGCACTTTGGCTCAGCTGGATTCTCCAAAGACTGTAGTTGCTTTCCTTGCATGCTAGTTGACACTGCTTGGTCTATGTCCTGTTTCCTTCTGTGCTAGTCAAAGGCAGCCCGATCTGCTTTCTGTGGGCCCAAGCTCAACATGTGCACACTTTGACTTTGTTGGAGTCTAGGGACAGGCCAAGATTTCAAGACCTCTTGACGCGTGGTAAACCGGAGAGCGCACGGCATCCGTATGAGTGTTGGGACTTGTTCGGAAGTTGCGCCAAGCTTGTGGTATTCTCTGGAAATTGTACTTGTGGTGGTTTTGAGTTGCTTACCCCAAGATCTGAGAAGCATAATCCGTTTGGCAACAAGGACATTGCTCGACTTGCGCCGGTGATGGCCCAAATGTCCAATCGGCAACCCGGTTCCGTTGCATGCCAGCAGTCAGTAGATCAGGCCCACCCCGCAGCTTGGCCGTGGCCACCCATGAGACGCTTGGAGCGCGCTCCAAGGGTCCAAGCGAAGCCGCGAAGCCCCAAATCTGATGTCGCAGAACCGAATCCGCCGCGCGATATGGCGTGAGTCGAGTCAAAGGCCAAAAACTTTCAAGTGCCGAACCAGTGGACCATGGCAGTTGCCAGCTCGGAACAAGCAAGCCATGACTCCATGGTCCCCCTGGCCATGACAAATTTTGACCATGGCACATTTGGTGTGTGTGTGTGCCCTGCTCCCATCAGGTCGCTGGGCAATTGAACTTGAAGGCCGTGACCGAGTCGGACTTGGGTTCCATTTGGGCTGGATGGGCTTGTCTCAGGGCCAGTGAATCCCGAAGGGCCGCTGAAAAGTGGCCGGTGGTAACGGATGACTCAAACATAGACCCCACCCTGCGGCTTCCTCCAATGTTTTTTTGCTGTTTCTGTGGGGGGTAGACTAAACATGAAAAAGACCTTGAACATATTGTGTACCCAGATGTGGGCCAAGCACCCAACCAATAGCCTCACAGCAAGTCAATTGAGTCAGAAGGTTGAAGCTGCTTATGCGGCTGGACGGTTGTCCTTGATGGTTTCGGGGGGTGTTTCTGGAACATGTGGATTAGGCAGGGTAGAACAGCTTCCCCTTCTTTCCGCTGGTGGTGGTGTCCTGAACATCACTTGTTGGGCCAGTTTAAAGTCAGAGTCCTTTTGCTGGCTGCTGATCTAAAGAGGAAAACATAGGGAGCCCTCTGGACACTTTGTTTCGTTGCTTTCCCTTTACCAGGCAGCCGATTTGCCTAGCCTCACTGTTGAGTCTTTGCAGCAACCCGGGGCGTGCTAGTAGTTTTTCCATCATCAACTCCTAGTAGTTGGACACATAAGCGACCAAGGTTCAAGAGGAGAGTTCAGGGTTGCCGCCAACATGGTTGGTTTCGTCGTGGTTTCTCTTTAAGCCAATCTGAAAGAGGGTACTCTCAACACACACACACACACACACTCCATTTCACGAAGGGAAGATGTGATGAAAACTGAGTTGCAAACACTGGGTTCTGCTGGCTGTTTTTCCCGGATTGGTTTCTGTTTGACATCGACCATCCGTAGCAGCCGATTTGCTTTCGTAGCAGCGATCCCCTTGCTCTTTTGTTGGTCTACTCCTCTGCAATTTACCGCTGGACCAAAAAAAGGTTTGCTTTTAAGACCAGCGGGCTTGGGGTTCCATGTTATATCTGGTGAGACTTGAAAGAGCTGCAGAGCCTCCACGCTTTAGGGAACAAAAAGTCTGACCTACGCGCCGTCTTGTTTTGCCAAGGCCGCTAGAATGGCCATGACCTACACACCCAACAAGGACTTTGCTTAGAGCACACCCTGGGAAATGCTCAATGCATCTAAACATTTCTTGCCTTATCTGCAACCTGTGTTATCCTTTGAAGGGAACCGAGGGACAATGTGTCTTGCTCAATCTCTCGGACTCAACGGGTTCTACTGTGATGGATAGAACCCAAAATGACTGGTTGTACATGGTTTAGACAAAGGTGTACATGGTATGCTCATTTCGGGCCTTGTGCATGGTTTTTGGCGGTAGTTCCTTTTGCCCCTCCTTGTGAGGGGCTCGGATTCACTGTGGTTTCCGTTCAAAGCAACATGCCAAAGGGCAATTGGGCGTGTCTTGAAGTGGGCCCCCGAAAATGGTGGCTTCCCTTTGGTCGTCCGTTACATAGCTCAACAAGCGCAGCCTCAAACTCAGATCCCCTCCACCTCAAGCAGTCGCGTGGAGATCGGCTCGCGGCAAGGCCTTAGCGGCAGATGTGCCCAAGCAGGCCAACAGCCCGGGAGCCAGGCAGTTTGGGGACGCAGGAACCACTAAGTGTCTCAACAAGCAGTGTCCCCTCAACAAGCAGCCCATGTTCATTCTCAACTCATTTTCCATCCGCATATTTTGAGAATGAACATGGGCTGCTTTCGGGTCAGGGATGGTCAATTGGCGCAAACGGAACAGAGAAGGGGCCGCTATGGCAAAGGACGAGGCCTGTTGGAAGGTCACACGCCCTGAGTAAATTTATGCGACCTGTCATCATCCGGGCGTGTCTCTGCTTGGAAAAACAAATCGGTTGCTCTAACAATCGATGACCTTTGAAAGGTGAACATGGCGCATGTCTGCGATATTGTTCACAAATCATAAGCCCTCAGGCTAACTTCCCACAAGCAGCAACATCAAGAAACTTGCATGTTTGGAGTGGAAGCAAAGGATTTGTTTTTGCTCCAGGGATCTCAGTCTTTCGGCTGAAAGGCTTATCCAGTGGGCCCCACAATGCCCAGAGGGCACGTCATCTTCTGGGGAGAGCTGATGTGCGCCGAAGACAGTCCCTGAGCCAAAGTGCTCCTTTTCGGCCTCTCCTTTTGCCTGTCATCTTACTTGCCACATCCTGTAGCGGCTTTTGATCTAGGGTGTTTGTAACACCTGCATATGCTTTGCAAGTGCACGCCTCTTCCCAACAATCGTTGTTGTACAGAGGGTGTATGACTGCAGACGGCAGTTTCCCCCTTTCACCCTGGATTTGCACACTTTTAAGTCTCGTCACGTCATATGTCGGAGGGCAACCTTGCTTGGTGTTTTACGCTCGACGCAGCCCGAAGTCGTCACGGCCCGCGGCGCAGGTCCGGGGTGCCGTCAACCGCCCCGGGCGAGGCGTGCTTTCGAAACGGCGACCGCCAGAGGCAGCACTTTCCCGCGCACGCGGAAGTCAGGCAACGCTTGGTCCTGGTCTTTGGAGTCTGGCAGCTTTTAGCTGGAACGCCTCGCCACATGCCGAAGTCGGCCAGCGAGCTCATGATGAGCAGCAGGTGCATGGTTGCACCGGTTTCTTGGACAAGAAGCACGCCCTCCAGTTGGTCACAGCTGGCACTCCTTCCTTCAACCTTGCCGCGCGACCTTCTGTTTTCTTCAAACTGGGGACCCAGCCCTGTCCATATTAGATCTATAGGGTCTAAGGCATACATTTGGCCCAGGATTTGACCCCCAGATTCAGGGGGTGTCCCATGTGAGAGTCTCTTGAGAAATCGAGGAGAGCCAGCCTGTCCGGGTCAAAACGGTTCTCACTTCCCAGATTGGGCTTACCGCTTTATCTCTTGGGGGTACCCGTGTTTTTGTGGTCTTCAAGGAACCCCCGAAAGGAACAGCCGAAATCCATTGCGGTCCCTCCAACTCGGAACTCGCTTCCTGAGTTCCTGGACTTGAGACACTTCTCCGGGAAGACGCTTTTTTTTAGGTGGCAGCCATAACAAGTGCGGGGGACCCTTTTTGGGCCCATCCACTCGATCAGAAGTGAACCTCAGGCCATGGGAAGGTGCCACCATCGACCATATGTCTTTTTGTAGCCATGTTTTTTGCTGATTGGAACGGACAATCAAACAGAACGCCACCAATTTGGGGGATCCCCCACAAAAAAGGCAGACCCATATTGCTGTGCTTTTCGGGTTGGGTCGATAGCTGACACCGGCGGCAGTTTGGCCCCACTCCTTGGCCAGTGCCATCTATTTGTGGAAAGGGATGCCTGCCGTTTCTATATCCGTACCTTCCCCAGTCCGTTCAGGGATCCTTCTTTCCGAAAAGCCAAACACCCAAGGGAAACATGTGGTTTCTGAACAGAAAGGTGGGTGAACAGAATGGGAAACCAACACCTTGGAGCGTTGGCCTCTGGGCCCATTCTGCGGGAGTCCACCCCATGAGTCCATCTTTCGCTTCTTTGAGGCATGGGATTGCAACTTAGCAAAACCACAGGGCCAAATTCCCCACCCACCGCCAACCGATTTTCGCGCCCGAATTGAATCTCCAGCAGAATCCCACCTCCAAAGGGCCCCCCTTTCGGTTCGGGCTTTTCAGCTTTTTAGTGTTCAGTGGGGTTTTCGATTTAGCCCACTAAAAGTTAAGCTCTTAGGGGATCTGAGGACAGCTCAGAAAAGAATCCCAAAAGGCCCCCTTTCGGTTCGATCTGCGCTGCGCGGGCCTTGAGGCTTCGACTGCGGGATCTTCATCATCGAGCCGGGGCCCCGGAATGGGCGCCGCTCGAAGCGGGCACTGGAGACGTCGCGAGTCGAATTGCGGTGCTTGCAGCTTCGCGCAGAAAAAGGGCTTCATCCAAATGTCTGCCGGTGGCTCTGGTAAGAACCCGATTGTGGCTGAGTGAGTGTCACTGCCATTGTAGTTCCCGCTTTTATGGCGGGGGGGGGGGTCATAGCTCACTTGCCATGTACAGCTCCTTCTTCTTTTGTGAAGCGGAGAAGCCAGGCACCACTGTTCATTCTCCAGGTCGGACAATCACCAAGGGGAGGCCCTGTTGCCTTAGCGGCCATTCGAGAATCACGACTTCTAGCTTGTGAGCTCAGGGAATCTGGGCAGATCCAAACTGAGAAATGGACTTCCGTGTTCCATGCTGGAAATCAGTGCCAAGCCCTGCGTCGGAAACATATGAGCCCAGCGAAAAGAATTGGTTGGTGCCGAGGTTTGCAACCGGACAAAAATCTGACCCCTTCGAGATGCTTCATGAATCAACCAAGCAACAAATCTACCCAAGAGACCGACCAAGCGGCCCCGAACGTCGGGATGCCTTTGAGCAGAGAAAAATGTTACCCCGGGTTTCCCGGAAGGATGGAAGCCAAATGGAATCCGGGCCCATAACATGGCCAAAATCCGATTGGTCAGGGCCCAAGTGCTAATCCTTCCGCTGGGTTACGAAGGGGTGTTGAGGGTCTTCCCACCGGGAAGTTGATGGAGAGTGGTAAATTCCGGGTCCTCCATTTTGAACAGCGCCGTGTACAGACCAAAAATAAACATAGACGGCCAAAAGGCACTCTCGCCACTGATTTTCGGTGTGTCCACTTGGGGCATGCTTGTTGAAGTAGCAGCTTACAGTCTGGGGAACTTGCAAAGCTCCATTCCCTTGAGGTTCCCTTCAAAGGAAGTCGAGGTTACAAAAAGGATTGTGGATAAAGCAACATCCGTGGCAGAGAAGGAGTTTGGCAACTGGTGTTTCCGTGAACCCATTTGCTCGCACCTCCAGGGATCGGTCGGGTTCCTCGTCCCAGGTACCTTCTGCACTTGCTGCGCTCCAAGACCGCCTTGGCCGGCCTAGGCCCATCTCGCGAGTGATTTTTGCCTTGGTCGATGCCCGAGCTATTGCAAGAGGAGGAACAAGGGAGCTCCCGAATTTACTGCAATGTGCCATGATTTTGTGTGTGTGGTTGCCTTGCTTGCAATTCTTAGCGCATCCACCGTCGCTTGCTAGCTGGAGTCTCGTTTGCTTTGAGTGGGGCCAGTGAATCGCACAACTCTGTGATGGATCAGTTTTGCATCTGGCCGCGCCGACTGCGGTCCGAGAAATTTTCGGCGTTTCAACCTCACGCCACCCCTTTTGCGGGCGCTTCCGAATTTCGCAAAAAGCCCCACTTTTCCGCCCGCAAGGCTCTTGCCCAAGCTCTTTGCTTTTCTCTCTGCTCTTCTCCTGTCTCCGCTCTCTCCGCTCTGCTAACTCTTCGCGCTGGCAGTCTTTGCTCTTCTCCTGTCCACTCTTCTCTCTGCCCTTGGCACCGCTTTTTCCTCGATCCATTCTGTTGCCCTCTTTCAAAGATGATGCGCTTTGATTGCACTCCGTGTGTTTGGAACAATGTTCAACTTGACATCGGATCTTTTTTTGGCGCAGCTGGGCCGTTCCTTCGCGTTTTGGCTGATCCTTCTTGTGAAGTTACTCCCCTGTGAAGCCCTAGTTCGCTGGCGCCGCTGCGCGGGCGATAGCTTTCGTTTGCCTCCCCGGCCCCCGGCCTCGCCACAAGGCCTGAGCAGTGTCTTTTACAGATGTGTTTGCCACAGGTGTTCTTGGGTTAGTTTGGATAGAAATAGATGATACCTGTTTAGATTGGTTTGCACCCTGCCAGGGAACCCCATCACTTGTTATCCAAAGATCGCCTCTTCTAGGGGAAGCTTCCCCATTCTTTCCAGGGATCCTTCTTGTCAGAAAACCATCAAAATTCCAGGGGAAACAGCGATTGTTTTTCGAAAAACACAATTATGTGTTTTTTTCTTTTTCTCAGAATGGGACAGGAATCAACCCTAGACTTGGGCTTTCTACCCATTCTACCCCCTTCCGGAGGTATCTTAATCCTGAATCCGACTTCGGGGGCTAGGGCCTCAAGCGTCGGTCGTCGGTGAGGCCTTGCAGCACACAAGCACTGGTTCGGCCAAGCGCCGGGGGCCTTTGTCTGGCTTCGAAGTCCAAATACGAGGGCGTGCCGTTGCGGGAGTTGGTGGGACCTCGGTTGAAGGGAGCAGAAGGTTAGCCAGATATTTTGCGAAGTGTAAGTTGGTGAATAATTCCAATGTTCCCAAACTCAAGGCCGCGCTGTGCGCAGCCTGCTTGTTGTTTTCCATAGGGAACGTCCTGCCCTTTAAAGGAAAGAGTCTATGCCCAACCACCCACACCCCAAGAGCCAGCCGACCAACCCAAAACCAACCCCGAAGCACCAAGCAAGGCTCCCAGGGGCCAACCCCAACCCACCCACCCAAACCACCCAGCCCACACCCGGAAGTCCAGGCGCCCCTGAGGTCTGTGTCGCACCGCCGGAAGCGCCTGAAGTGGCTCGCCACGCTGTGCGGAGCCACAGCTTCGGGCGATGGCAGGTTCACGTGGCTGGCTGGCAGGCAACCCCCCCACCCCCTGGAAGAAAGGAATCCCCACTCGAAAGCGCCCCCCCTGATTAATAACTGGGGGGGTCTATTCATGAGAGGTCAACATGTCCCGACCCTCTTGGAAATAAGATTCCTCTTGGGTTCCATGCTCCGCGGAACCCCCGGTCTTCTAATGAAGTTTTGGATGGGTTCCATGCTGGTCTGAGGAATATGTCCAAAAGGGGCGGATCAGAATCTGAGGACATTCTTGCCGTTCGAGTTGGCGAACCATGGCGAGCCAAGCTGTTGAGTTGGGGAATGGCTTCTTGAGTTAGGTCCCAAGTTGATTTCGGCTGCAACCGCTTTGGGGTTGAGAGCTCCCCGACTTCGACGTGAGTTCTCGTGGAATACCTGGACCCGTGCGGTGACCTCTTGCGCGAGATAAACACAGGTAGGGGCCGAGTTTTTTGAGAGCCCACGTGGACAGATGACTTACTTCAGTCATTCTGGTTCAACCTTCTTGCTTAAAAATCGACAGACTCCTTCTGGTAGACAGGAGCATGGCAGCCTATCGGCAGTGGTACTACGCATTTTATGAGCTGTGACCTTAGTTAGTTCATTTCGGGCCCGCACAAATGCCGCACCAAAACCACGGGCCAGCAGGACCATACCGCATATTGTCCAGGATTATATGAGTTGCAGATCATACACTTTGACCTTGCATACTTTGGCTTGCATACTATCCATCTGCTTCTGCTTGAAAGTTCAATGGATCGGAGAGGTACGTAAAGCCAAATTTCGTCATTCTTATAGGAGAACACCTTTGGCAAATTGTTTTGAGCCCCCTTCTTGGTTAGGGGTCCTGGTGGGTTGTGAAGACAACCAATTTCCAACAGGTGACGTTCAAAGATTGCCCACGGTTGAAACAATCAGACACCTCGTCGGCTTTTTCTGAAGACACGAGAACCTGGGGCCAAGGGGGTTCAAACAAAATGACATGCCCATTTGCGGGACCTGGTGAGTAACTCAGTTCGAGAGAATAAACCATGTCCTGCACGAATGTCTATGATCTTAAACGAGCTCACCGCTATACTGGAGGTTCCGTACTGGCGAATTTTGTGTCCAGCTTGGGAACTATGGAGCCAAACAGCTGCGACTCAGTGAAACATGAACATTTAAACCGCAGATGGCATTCTAGCACGGTCTCGGGGTGGTACGTTCTGGAAAACTGTTTGAGTGCGTTGTCTGTGATTTCCTACCAAAACGCCCCGTTCTGGCAGCATGTTTCAAACCAGGACTCTCCTGCAAAACTATGTCACACCTGTTTAAATTGAAATGTGTGGGTCAAAAATAGGCACACAAAATAGAACAATGGTAAATGAAAGCAAGGTCAAGAAGCTGCGGTTGGTTGATATAAAAACCAAGGACATGACTCGCCGTGCACAGCTTTTCGTTGGCCAAGAGACCCTACGGGTTGGCTCCAAGCGCCGGAAGAAGCTTGGAGGCTTCAAAGTCAAGCACAGCGCTTCGGGGAGACGGACGTGCGGCGCTTGCTCCAGGCCGCTGGCGCGGGTGTTCGGGTGGGTGTTTGCTGGTTGTTTTTCATTTGGCCATGGGTCAAAATCCAAATCGTACCAGTGAACATCCGAATCCAACCACTAAAATAGGTTCTAGAACCCCAAAATGGTACCATTGTTCTGACCGGCCATTTGTTTTCTGAGCTTCGCTTTGGGCTGTTAAGCATGGGAACCCGGTTTCATGGTTTGAAGGGAAATATAACATCGGTCCACCGTTGCTTTCCTTGCGTAACAGCGGTATCAGATGAATGGTCTCTTCCTTCTCTGGCTGATGCGTGGTCGAAGCTGCCGTGAGGAGGTTCTTCCAACATGTCTGATATTTGCTTTGGACGTTGTGAAAATCTCAAGCGACTCCTAGGAGGAATCCCTAAACTGACAGGATAGGGAAACCCTACACAGGCGACACATGAAAGGGAAACCCTCAAGCAAAACCGGAAGGCTCACGGGATTCCCTCAACGGCCCGAATTCCGGGAAACCCTGAACCAAACCCTCATTTCAGGACAACAACAAAAGACAAGCAAACACACATCCATGAAGAATTTAGACATGTTCGAGCCACGCGAAGTACGGAAGCTCAAAAGGACATCAAAAAGTGACTGGTGCTATTTGTTTGGGGCGATCTTTTTGGAGGCCATGGGTCGTGGCTCGATCCGCTCGTTTTGGGTCGGGGCTCCGTGGGGCTCAGGATCCCCGGCTCCGCGCCGCTGTGGCTCGGAGCCCCAGGCTCCGCTGGGACCCGACGCGTCAACCGGCGGACTCGACGCGCGTCGAAATTTGGTGGACGGCTTTGATGGACGGCGCTTGGAGGGTGCGAGGGAAGCTCAAAACTTGACGGCGCGTGGAGGCAAGCCAAAGGGAAAGCCCAAGGGGTGGGCCTCTTCAGGCAAAAAAAGGCGCGCAAACGACATCACCTTGTTGAAACCTCCGACTTTTGAGGGACCCCCTCCCTTTTTTTACGGGAAACCGAGAGGTGGATCCCTGAGCTTCCCTGCAGATGAACCTGACTCCCCAATAGAAGTTTCCTCTGTAGATGGATCGTTTTGTTTTGGTCTAGCGGAGCAAAGCCAGTGCATTCTGCCCCCGATCCGATTGGATTCCACCTGGGGCAGATGGCCCGGGGTTGTTTCTGATTGGCCGAGCTCCCAGACTCATGTCCAGTCAAGTGTGCAAGAATTTTGGGGTCTGCCTTGGCGAATTGGGCCCCCGAAGCTGGCTGCTGGCCTTTTTGCTTCCCTGGCAAATCCCGTCCAGAAGAACCATGCAGCCCCGGGTGTCTGCAAATTGCGCCCCCCCCCCCCCCCCCCCAAGACGAAGGCTTCTTTCAGGGTGCCATTCACAAGTAGGGCACCCCACCCGTTGAATCCAGTTGCCAATGAAGTAGGTAATCAGATAGATGGTTTTCCCCCGTCGCCTACAATGGCAACTGGAAGCACTCGTCTCAAAGGCTGAATGTAAATATGTCCATATATGAACCCGTGGTATGGCAACTCCTTTGAGCTGGGAGATGTTGGACTCACTTCGGCACAATTGGACTTCAGTTCCAGCCAAGTTTCAGTGTGTGATGTTTCTTGTACAACCAGTGGTATTGGTATGAACCGCTAATTTCTGGGTCAATTACCCAATTAACTGCCACTTGTTGCTTGATTATGGGAAAGCAGCTCCCAAAAAGTCCAAAAGGCCATGGGTTCATTTATGGACCCATGAATCAGCCTTTCATCCAAATGGAAGTGACAGCGCTCGATCCGCTCAGGTTTTAGCCCTCACGGACCACCCAAAGAAGGCGCGAGCCTCTGTCCCAACCAGAGTGGGTTTGGTTTAAAACAAGCCAGCATTGGTTGCTTCCTTTTGCGTGGCTCACGCCCAACTTCTCTTCATTTTTAGGTTTTATTCTTTGAACATTTGGAGTGGTGATCATGGAAATGTGTATGATAGTCCGCAATGAGTATTCCTGCACGACTTGACATGGTCATTCTTCCTCTTTGTGGGGCTGTCGTGTTTCTACCAGAAAGCAACACCTGTTCTCCGTTTGCAAGAAGTAATGCTAAAGTTTCCCGGCTTGGCAAGAAAAGTGGTCTTTGACCAAATTCAGGGGCGCCTTGGGCCTTGCGAATCGATTCGCAGGCGAGCCCCTCGACAGCGCCGCGGCCTAAGGGCGGTCTCTTGATTTGCAAAGCCGCTGGGTTACGCCATGGTTGAAGCAACAGTTGTACTCACTTGAGTTCTTGGACAACTTTTCCGGGAAGGCAATTTTCGTGGTACACAAACAGTTTGGGCTTTTTTGGGGCCATCAACTCAAGAAGCAAGACATTCTTTCAACCTCCTTTACGTCTCCTTTCAAAAGCTAGGTTCGTTGGTTGCTGGCTTTGCTTTGGCTTGGTTTAGCCTGGTCTGGTTTGGCTTGGTTTGGCTTGGCTTGACTTGGTTTGACTTGGTCTGACTTGGTTTGGTTCGGTTCGGTTGGGTCCGGTCTGGTGGCTGTTTCACCATATGCAAGATGCCCCATCCTTCGCAGGCCAAAGCTGAAGCGCCCGAGCGAGGTGCGGAACGCCAGCCGGGTGAGCGGGTTGGAGTGGACCCCTTCACACGCTTTTTGGTTTCCCTTTGCCTCGAAAAGCACCCAACCAAACGGGCATGTTCAAAGGAGGCTCAAGAAGCTTCTTGCTGAATATGATGTTTGAGATTCATGTGTTAAGATTGAAGGAAGGTGATCATGAGTGGAGAATACCATCAGGAGTGTGTCCACTGTGGGATCCTCATAGTTGTCCGCCTTTTCGTGACATGAAATAGGTCACCTCTGGTATGTTTCCTGGCATCCTCACTTGTGCACGGCCTTAAGCTTTCTTAGCAGAGATTGTTGCTGATGCCCACACCGAACGGAAACACCAGATAGAGAAGATGATCCCCAACTGCGAAGATGGACTTTGGGTTGTTCTCGCATGGTTCGGGTTAACACAGGCGTACTCTTCCACTCAAATCTGGGAACCGAAGCACCCCGAGTGGAGTCACATCACTTTCGGGCGCTCGCATGCTTTGCGAAGGCGGCGTCGGAGCGGAAGAAGAAGCCTCGGCCGGGTTGCACGGAAGGGCTCGCCCCAAGTCGCGCCGGGCGGGTTGATAAGCGAGGTCGGCTTTGAAGCTCCCACTACAGGTTCCTCCAAAAGCAAAATGATCTTTGAGGTGCGTCCCATTTTGCAGCCTGACTAGTGACAAGGGCACATGGGAACACAGGGCTCCCATGGGCAAGGTGAGCAGTTGAAAGAGGGAGTCACACGCTTCCAAGAGGTCCCTTTGATTTTTAAATCGGAGGATCGAGGAGCAAACCGCGACGGCTAGAACCAGCAAGATGCGCCTAGTGGACTCCGTGCTTCTGCCGAGGTCCTCGACCTGAGCGAAAAATCGCATGGGAAAATGCCGAAAAACATATCACGATATATATATATATATATATATGTATATATATATATATATTGATTAGTAATTGAATAATAAAACATAATACATTTTATAATTATTGGAAAACCTATTATAAATATAAATAAATATTAAATTTGATATTTGAATTTAATTGCAAATAAAGGGATGTTATATATATATATAGTGAAATAGGAACATTTTTGTTTAAACATATTATTAATAAATATATACTTTTACTCTATAAAACGAAACCGTGAAACTTGCTCGTCGCACTTGCGCGCGTTTTCCCGGACCGCTTTTCCGAAAAATCCCGGATATTTTGGAAAATTGGTCTGGACTGCCACTGGAAGATGTAACCGCTTCATATTTCCTACGGACCGCTTGCCCAAATCTGTCCGGGCTACCCCGGCATATGTGCGGAAGACATAGTGGCTCCATTTTTTGTAGGGACCAATTTCCCGAAATATTCCAGATATTTCGGGAAAGCGGTCCGGGAATCGCAGCCACCCACCATTTTCTCGAAATATTCGGAATATTTCGGGGACCATTTTCCCGAAATATTCCAAATATTTCGGGAAATGCTATCGTCGAAATTTCCGGAATATTTCGGAAAAATGGTCTGGAGTGCGACTATCGAAATATCCGGGATATTTCGGAAAAATGGTCCAGGCTTTGAACGAAGTAGCTGTGTCTTCTAGATCAAGAGTCTAGGCATATATCTCCCCATCCGTAGCCGTTGAACGAAGCCGTTGTGTCTTCCAGAGAAAGAGTCGGGGCATATATCTGCCTGTCCGTAGCAATTTTGGTTGAAATCTTGGCCCATCTTCCGCGATGCGAGAAGCTGTGAGCCGCGGCCGATTGTTGCGACAAGTGGTGTTTTTCCCCATGCTTTGGGCGAAATCAGTTCGGCTTTGCTTGCACCCAGGATGTTTTCTGGTCGATCGCGTTTTCGCTTGCGCTTGCAACAACTGCGTGTGTGGATGGATCTTTTGAGGCCAACAGCCCGCGGATTCGTTCTCACCTTGTTCAGGCGACCGCCTTTCAGCGTGACCTTATCGCGACCAGCCCGGCCCTCAGTGCGTCTCGCGACCTGTGTTTGGAGAACGGCAGCATGCTTTTCGCATGCGACGAGTATACATTTTTTGATAGGTATGAGATGATAAAATATGTTGGTGCCTGAGTTGCAAAAAATGTCTTGCCGGCGCGGGCTCTGTAAGATCTGGACCTTGGCACCTGAGAGCTTGGCCCTTTTTTGGCACCCGCCTCAACTTACCCCTAATTGCTGCTTTGGATTGGTGGTTTGGGGATTGAACCCCTGGATCATGTTGAAGTTGAATGGGAAACCACCCCCTAACCTCCAAAACACCGATCCAAACTACCAATCCAAACCAGGCTGGTAGCAACCCGGGGTGCCCAGTCCTGCAACCACCTCCTGGCCGCGGGAGTGGCGGGGCAGCGCCGAGACAAGCGCGTGACAAACCGTTTCCCACTGGCTCGCTCCACTGGGCGAGGCGCCAGGGGACAAGCGGCCAGCGGCCGCGTGCAACTGGGGCACGCGCAGCCGAGAGCTCGCACGCGCGTTCTTGCAGCCCGTCTGCATCACGGCTCTCGGGCTCGGAGTCGGACGCGTGCACATGCCAGGCGAAGCCTGTGGCATGTCGACATCAGAATCCGGCGCGGGTGTGTCTCTTTTTGTCTCTGTCTCTCTGTCGGTGTCTTTCTCTGTCTTTTTTTGTCTGTTGGTCTCTCTGTCTCTGGTATCTGTTTCTTTGTCTGTCTGTCTGTCTGTCTGTCTGTCTGTCTGTGTCTGTCTGTCTGTCTGTCTGTCTGTCTGTCTGTCTGTCTGTCTGTCTGTCTGTCTGTCTGTCTGTCTGTCTGTCTGTCTGTCTGTCTGTCTGTCTGTCTGTCTGTCTGTCTGTCTGTCTGTCTGTCTGTCTGTCTGTCTGTCTGTCTGTCTGTGTCTGTGTCTGTCTGTGTCTGTGTGTCTGTGTCTGTGTGTCTGTGTCTGTGTCGTGTCTGTGTTTGTGTCTGGGTCTGTGTTTGTGTTTGCGCTTGTCTTTGTCTTTGTGGTTGTTTTTGTCTTTGTCTTTGTTTTTGTCTCTGTCTTTTTGTGTGTTTGTTTGTCTGTTTGATTGTTTGTTTGTTTTGTGCTTGTTTGTTTGTTTGTTTGTGCTTGTGTGTTTGTTTGGTTGTTTGTTTGTTTATGTAAGTGTTTGTTTGAAATTGATATTGCATAGATTAAGTTTTATGAATTTGTTGATATTTTACGGGTTAATTGTTATGAATTTATAAAATTTAGGGATTATTTTATATTATCGAAAGGATTAGGATAATATTGATGGAATTTGTAGGATATTGTGGTTAGTTATAGGTTGGCTTATTTTAAATTTGAAGATAGGATTGTTGATATATTTGTAATGGATCAAATTTATTTATGAAAAAAAGAAAATAATGAAATAGAAAAATAAATTAGATAGATATTTTATTATTATTTTGGTTGAACTATTATATTTTGATTAATAATTTAAGCGAAAATAATTCGATTTTATTTGCATTTAGGATGTATTTTGGTCGATGATATTTTCATATATATATTATTTTTTCTTGTTTAGGCGATCGCTTTTCATTGACTAAATATCTATATGCTGATATCGGGCACCTGAGAGACATTATTGCTTTGTGTATTGTAATGCTTTAGGAAATATAATGAGATGATATTGGGGGTTATCCTCTATCCTCTGTTAGGTATGCAATAGTCTTCTCTTAGGAATCCGATACGCCGAACAATGTCGGCGGATTTGATAAGAAATAAATGAATATGTGTATTTGTTTTTGTGTATTTATATTTTGTTTATTATATATTTTCATGGTTTTATAAATTTTATTTTATCTATGTTGGTTATTTATTATAACAAATTATGATTTTTGGGATATTATTTGGTTTATTAAAAAATATGATTTTTGGTTGTTGTGATTGTTTGGCTTAAGAAATATATTTTGTTTGTTTTGAATAATGGAACATGATTAAATGTTTATTTATTTTTATATAGATTTGTATTTAATTGATTATATTTGATTTGTTTGTATGTGTTTTTTTTATTATTGTTTATTTGTATGATTTTATTTATTTGTCTTTATTTATTGTTTTATTTGTTATGAATTAATTATAATGATCTATATATGGTTTTGGTGATTATAATTAAAATTGAATAATTTAGATATGTATAATAATTATTTATATAATAATTTATTTTATTTACAATTAATTATATATATATTATTTAAATATATTAATTATAAATATAAATAATATATATTAGATATATATATATATATTAAATATTAATGATATTTATTTTATATTGATTGAATTATAAGTTTTTTTGATTTATGGTTATATGAAATTATTTGATTTTAAGGTTTTGTGGGGATTTGATGAGAATTTGAATTGTTTTTAGAGGGGATTTTATAGGTTTTTAGAAGGTAATATTGGGAGGGATTTGATTGGTTTTTTGATTTTGAGAGGAGAAGGTTTTATTGGTTTTTTGTGGCTTTTAAGGTTTGGGGGGATTTGAATTAGGGAGAAGAGGTTTGAAGGGGATTTGATTGTTTCTCGATTTTGGGGGCCGAAATGAATTGTAATATATATATATATATATAGGAATATAATTAAATATTGATATAGGAATTATTAAAATATATTTTCGATAATTATATTTTTGAATAATAGTATTTTGAAATTGTGGCTAAATTATATATAATTCGGTGTATTGTTTTTTTCTTTTTATAATTTATATTTAATTATAGAATAAGATTATCGTGAGAAAATTTATTTATAATTCATTTTTAGATAGTTGGATCTCTAGAAATGGGTCTCTAATTTAATATAATACATAATTATTCGAAATATTTTATTTGGGCAGGATCCAAGGCAAAGACTCAAAATCACAATCATTTAGTTTCTCGAAATATGCCGAATGCGTGTTTTGTTAAACATTTGCTCGATCTGACTCATATCTGTTTATAATTATTAACTTAGAATGATATTATATTTTATATTCTGATTCTGTTATTTTCTTGCTATGGGCTTCATTTCGCACGCTGCTGGAAAGCAGCGGGCCCCCACTAGTACATATATATTAATATAGAATTAAATTCTATATTTATTTATAGTTAATATTTAATATATGTTATTTATTTTTATAATTTTTTGATTTGTTTTATTAAAGAATAATATCATTAAATTAAATATTAATAATAATAATACAATATAATTTAAATAATATTTTGAATTTTGGAATTTATTAAATACATTATATTTAAATAATATATATGTTATTTTTTGATTTATATATATAAAATATATTAAATATATATATATTATCTATATTAGGTGGGCTTAATTATATATTGGTAGCTTAACTCGAACTTAGGTATTATGGAATAATAATGATTTGGGAATATATAATATATTTGATATATATATATATATATTTGCCCGAATAGAGATATTATGTATGAATTTCTTATCAAATATAATTCGGCAAATGAAATATATATATATAATAGAATATGTGAATAGATAATCTATATTGAATTATATATAAATTCAGTAGCAAATCATTTAACCAATTAATTAAGGAAGATTTAGCCCATGGATGCATCTAATGCCTTCTAACTATATCGGGCATAAAAGCACAAATAGAATAACAACCTAATCATCAAAATTATCGAAACGAAATAATATATAAATACTAGAATCGTATTATCGGCGAAAGAACCATTTTAACGTGCTTGCAGCTATAGAATCTAAATAATAATAACCATATTATAGAAAACCATGCTGTATATAAACATTATATTTTGTAAATTTTCAAGTTGATATATTTCATTCTATTGAATCTAAATATTATAATTATGTTAGATTAGGATGTTTAGTTCCTACCAAATTCATTTTATCTCTCAACCAAATTATGGTTCCAATTAATCATCATATTATTTAATATAATAATCTAAAAATCAATATCTATATAGCTATATTATTTAAATATATTTTTTGTTAAATTCCTATATAAACAAAATCCGAAAAAAACAAATAAATATCGAATCCTATTTCCTATAATTTAAAAAAAATAAATTCTTAAATCTATTAATAAATATAAATTCAAACAATATAAATTAAAATATATTATAAATATAATATTAATTCTAATTATTACTATATTTTAAATAATAATACAATATTTTTTTAATAATAAGATTTACGAATTAATTAAATAAATCTATAAATATATCAAAACAAAAATAAATTTAACAAAAAAAATAATTTTATTGTAAATTATATTTCCTATAATTATATTAAAACAAATATAATATTGTATTATTAATATACATTTATTATTATTATATTTATATTTAATATATATTAAATTAATAATATTATATTATTCAATTTATTTTTTTTGTTTTTTTATTAATATATATATAGTTTTCATTATTTTCATTAACTAATTTTGTATTAATTACATTGCTCCCCTTAATCCCCCCCCCCAAAACACGTCAAATACGCATAGTTTTTCATTTTCCGATTTCCTTAACAATTAGCACCAATTTCCCCCCAATTTCCATTAATTTCCCCCAATACTTCCCCGCAATTATGCCTTACTTTCTCACCAATTCCCTCCCACTTTCCTTTCAATTTCCATCCGACTTCCAATTTCCCCCCCAATTTCCCCCAAATGTCCTAGCAAATTCCGCAACCCCAGCTTCCTTCCAAATATCGCCCCCAATATCCTTCGTATCGATACTTAGGCCATACTAAACCATACTTCTCACAAGCAAAAATGCCGTACAAAGAGCAACCTCAACACCCCTCAGAAATCAATTTATCCATACACCCCGCCAAAATAACATACAATACCCATAACATACCACCCAACACTAAGATGCCCTAAACGGCGAGCCTTCCTGTTCGCAATTATACATCCTATTTAATCCTCACCCTTTCCCAACATTTTACTTAGAGGCATAATTCGGCACCCTTTTTAAAAACACCCTCTTAATAACACTCAACACTCCGCCAACATTACTCAACGTATCGGGGAAGATAAAAGAACCAAAGAAAACAAAATAGCATACTAAGAGGACACGAGCAAGAAGAAGAAAGAGACAAACTAAATGCTAATATCGGCGAATTAAGCCGGAGGCTCTAAAGTTTCAATATTAACAAAATACAATATATATATATATATATAAATATTAATTTGATTTTATTCATTTATATTCAATTTTATATTATTTTAATATTTAAAATATATATAAATATACTAATATATAATTCTATTTATATATAATATAAATCAATAATTTCCATTCTTAAATATTCGTCGAAATATAAATATTGTTGTTGTTGATGGTTATATTTGATATAGATTTTATTGATATTGAATATGGTGATGTGGGCGATACAGACATGGTTTGGATGCTGACGCTTATATAACGTTGGTGATGCAACATCGCAATTGGATATAATTGGATGCTACACAACGCCGGGTTGTGTCTGCCGCATCCCCAACATGGCCCACAGAGCAGGAAAACAAGCGAAAAAGGCGCTGTGTATGCAACACCGCGCATGGTTTGTGTGTCATCTGCAAAATCCAAGCACTTATTCAACGACCAACTCGATGTGTTGCAAGAACATGCCCAGTTTCTCAATGGCAAGCATTGCATTTTCAAGCAATCACGAACGAATAAATACGTCCCTGCGGCAGCGGCCAAAGACCGCGCTCCAAGGGATCAAAGATGTCCACCAAGTATAGACCCTCCTCGCACAGGGAGTGGCCAATGTACCTTTAAAAGGTTCGATCAGAAGGTTAAGGTCCTTAAGGACAATCAGTTGACTCCGGATTGACCCAGATCATGCAGCCGATGCTTGTTCGATCACGTGGCTAGAAAACAAACATTTACCTCCAGTGCCCATGACTTTGGATTTCTCGTGCGCTTGGGTGCTTGAGATCCCGGCTGGAATGGATGCAACAAAAAGGGAATCAGCGGCTGTGCCGTAGGGCAGAACTAATTATCAAAAGTCTAGTCCTACAGTCCTACCTCGTGCCTTGGTTTCAACGCAATTCCCCCACAACCACATTCTGATTTCCTGGGCCCTATTGTAAATTACCTTCTAAGGGTTCAAAGGTGAAACGCAGAACGCAAGTTTGCGAAGCCGCGTGCGCGTTTCGCCTGGCACAACTTGCAGCTCCTTGGCAAAGGCCTTGGGCGTCTCTGCGTCCGGCGGGGCGGAAGCTTGCTGCTTCCGATTCCCCTGGTCCTGCGCGGCCGAGCTGAGGGCACTGGTGAAATGGGGCAGGTTCTAACAAATGCCAGGTCCTCCAGCAGGTCCTCCAGCAGAGAGGCAGCAGAGAGGTTAGAATGAGGGTACGCTTTTTGTCTGTAGTCTATTTTGGTAGGGGAACCCTGCCCCTAAAAAAGGGGTACAAGGGCACTACTGGGGGCCATAGAATGGGTTCTAGGATGCTACACATGAGTGTCCTCTGGCAAGTTGGATCCTGTGTATTAGAACCACTGCCTGCAAAGGGACTGTTGAAGACAAAGGCAGGGTTCTTAATGCTACCCTTTGAAAAGAAGGCACAAGGCGGCCCATTTCGCACAGTGAGGCCTCCAACTACGGCTTCTGTAGCCCTAGGACAGGCTTGGGCCAACCCGGTTTTATTATTGGCTAGGTCTTCCAGTAAAAACGTTAGAATAAGGGTACCCTTTTTCTGTAGTCTATTTTGGTAGGAGAACTTTTCTTCAAAAAAGGGTCAATGGGCACTACTGGGGGACCTAGTTGGTGCTTTTTTAGGACAAAACCGGGGGCTGCTTCTCTAACCCCAGGCCCCTCACTCCTCCAGGAAAACCCGCGTCCCAGGATGGCCCAGCTCGCGGAAGAGCTTCGACCACACCGCCAGGTTCTTCCGCAGCTCGCCCTGCGGAAGCCATCAGACAGGATTTCAGCAGACTTTTGTTCCCTTTGTGGTCGGCGAAGAAAGGGAAACCAACGGAGAACCGGGTGGGGCGAAGCTGTGCACATGCAAGGGAGCTGTTCTTGAATTTGGGGAGACATTTTTTCCCACCAAGCGCTCACTGCAACATGCTGTAACTTCCCGCTAGGGATCGCGTGTATGTGCTTGGCGCTGGGCCGACATCCAAGAGTCATTGTGCAGCGAACATACATGAACCTACGTGAGCACGCCTTGTGCGAAATCATGGCCTCTTTCTGAACCCACTTTGACATAATGTGAAAGGCCAACAACGGTCCAACCAAATGGGCCTTCTACCTTCTTCGGGGTACCCGACCCGAGGCGTACGAGTTTTTTCTTAACAAGCAACATGTTTGTATGGAGGTCAACCTCACACGCTTCACAAGAGAAATGCAAGTCTCTTTGCTTTGAAAGGAAAGGAAAGGGAGATGCATCTCAGACTCCCATTTTCGGACAGGGTTCTCATTTTGAGACAATTTTGTTGTGTTCTATTTGTTGGTGTTCCCAGCTTGAGACAGATCCATAGCAATGGTTCTTCGCCTGCGGCGCTGCTGCCATGACCACCACATCGTAGGGTGGCACCACACCTGCGCTCGCGGGCAATCGGAACGCTGCGGCGTTCTGCCAAGGCCAAGTACTGCGCAAACGCGGTGCATCGAGCTAGGAAACTCATTTTGCATGCGCCCAAAAGGTAACGTGTTTGACTCACCCCAAAAGGGAAAAAAGAGAGCCCTGCGCAAAACTGCTGCAATGATAGCCGCAAAGCTTGCTTTGTTTTGCTCGTTGCAAACCGCCACCTCTAAGACTCTAATTGTAAAGGCAGGTTTGGCTTGAAGCGAATTCAATGCTACCCTGTGCTAAGAGCACATCTTTCAGAATACACCGCATCTGAAGTATGATATCTCCATCCTTGCCAGTACCTTTTTGTCTGGACAAAGCAACCGCACGCCATGTTGATGACGGTTCCAGAACGCCTATTCCCTGCTTGCGCGCAGCTTCGCCGATTCATGCCGATTCGCGCGCCTTGCCGGCGCCAAGATGCAACGCTACTGGAGTAGTTGAAGCGCGCCACCCTCACAACGCCATGCCTCGCAATGGCAGAGCCTTGAAAGGAACACACGGACCACAGCATGGCTTTGATGCCTGTGTCTCTCCCTCCCGGCATTGCCAGCTGGCTTGTAGTCATTCATCTCTCCCCATCTCACATGTGGCAAACAATAGTTGGCTGGCCTGCCTCATGCAGTTTGTGGGCTGTCATATTCGGTATCCAATTGAGTGTCAGGAAGTGCACGCCACCGCAGCATTGATGCAAAGCCTACTATAAGGTGGCAAATCATCGAGCTTGCGCGTTGGGATATATTGATACTCTATGGAGCAACCAAACACAGGAAACCATCTACCGGGTGTGCTTCCTGTTGAAGCACTTTTAAAACACCTTAAAAGGGTGCCCCTCTTTTAAAGGGCTGGGGTCCGGCTGTTTTTGAACAAACGCAGGGCCCAATCCTTGTTACTGGCCTCTTAGGTCTCAAAGCAGGGTTGCTACAACCAGCCTGGCAGGGTAGAAATTGGGTCCTGGTCTTTCGGGAAAAGGGAATCTGCACAACTTTGGGTGTCTTAAAATAGGGGCCCCCTAATCCCTTTGCAAACCAACCAAAAAAGGCTTCCCAAAAAAGACACACCCACTTCTACCTTCGTCTTGATCATCCTTTTGGGCATGGCGAACCTTTTGGCAAACCTGGTGACGCTTTGCAGGCGGTGGGCACCGTTGTGCTCTTCAGCGCCGCCGTCATCGCCGCTGCGTTGGTCGAGCTGACCACTAGCGCGCCGTCGTCCACGTCGGTGCAGGTCACATCTGCGCCTCTCCTCGCGGGCGTCGGGCGTCAAGGGCTTCGGGTGCTTCTGGCTCAGCCTGTCCCTTTGGGAAGGTGGGAGGGTGCTTTTTCAGGGAAAACAAAGAAACCCAACCATTCTTGCCAGAATTCATGGTGCCAAGAGCTTTTCAAACCAGATGTGTTTTCTCCCAGGATGTGTTTATCCGTGGTCCAAAAAGTGAAACATCTCAAAAAAGAGGTGACCTAGCAATCTGTGTTGTTCCAAAGGGATCCAAACAAAGATCCCTAGTCCCAATCCATAAACCGTTGTGGGGCACTTACAAGGTAGGGTAAGGTGGTCCCAAGACATGGCTTACAAGGGAAATCGCTACTCGATGCCATTGAATTGATTGCGAAGAGCTTGACAACGGGCGCCTGCCTGTGCCCGACATGGCCATGGCTGAAACAACTACACTGGTAAAGATGTTTCCGAGAGAAACGGGGACTCAAGCAGGTTGGGCTTCCTCTGTTTGAAGACAAACTCTGTCACCCACTCGCTTCTGCCTCAGGTCTCGCAAGGGGCTGGCCAACCCACAAATACTACGTAGTTCTTCGGCTCACCTGTCGCTAGCCTCAGTGTGTCGCCTTGAATCATTGAAACACACTCTGACTCTGGGGTTTGCCCTATGGCCCCATGTATAATTCCCGGCACTCCGAAAAGTCGTGTGCCAACTCGCCTGAAATGAGCACTCAAATTTGAAGCCTGATCCCGGTTGCCCCTGTAGATAACCCTTCACCATGTTCCCTCAGTTGCCTACACGTATTTCTCAAGCTTGGGAACCCCAGATGGTTGATTTTCTCTTGCTTTCCATCCAAAAGTTTGCTCCAAGTACCCACATGTGCAACACATGTGTGTCGCTCTAAATTTGATCAATCTGGTTTTCCCTGGTACATACCTCCTTCCCGAAGGCACGCAAAACCCAGGGGCCAGTGGTCCTCATCAGCACCAGGCAGGTGAGGCCAATGCCGGCCCCAAGGTCGATGATGCGCCGGTTCTGCATGTCCGGCTGAAGATCCAGGTACACCGCCTGGAGGAGGCTGCGATAGGGAATGATGGAATAAACCCTTCAGGGATTCCCGAAAGGAAACCACCAGTTGCATACGGTTTTAGTTCATTCCCTGAGCACCAGATAGGGAATGTGGTTGAATGAACCGTTAGATTCCCGAAAGGAAACCACAGGCCAGTTGGATGGGTTTTAGGAGTCTTTTTCTCAGGGACCCTACTTATCGCACCAAGGTTGGGTTTTGCAAAGCGCCAGGTAGAGTCAATCCAAAAACAGGCGTGGTGGGGAAAGGCCAGGCCCCTCATGGGGTGTGCTTCTTGGGGTCCTTTGCAGGTCAGCTTAGTTTACAGGGCACACCCAAAGAGGTTCACAAAGGGGTCGCATAGTTGGGCAAATATGTTGTTGATGGGAGCGAAAATCGCAGATTTGTCCCTTCAAACAGGGATGGGAAAAGAGTCCGACAAAACGGCCTCCCCCTTTTAGGTGGAACAAATGTCACAGGGGTATGAGTTTAGCTGATTGATGGACTGGTCTACAGGGCGCTTTATGTCCATCGACCATGTTTGAGATGTTCCCCAAGCACCCCACAGGGTTGCTGAACTCTGGAGAGGTATTTTGATCAAGTTTTATGCTTGCAATGCTCTCCATAACCTGGATCGCTCTCCTGACAAACTTTGCAGCATCTGAGCTACATGCAGACATGCGCACACGCGCGCACACACACAACATGAGCATCCGATTCAAACAATCTTAATGAGATAATAATCATCGCTTACTGTGGGCAGCATTCCAACAGTTTGGGGGTCTTCTAGAACTATAGTTTTACGTTGTCGGGTCCACATTTTCTCGTCTTTGCCCCAAATGCAATCAGAGGGGCGAACAGAAGGCCGCGCGTTAGATATTTATTGCTGGCCCACAGCAACTTATACGAGTTACTCGAAAGCCAAGCAAATTAATGCCATACTCTCTCTTGGTCTGAAACCAAAAAGGAAACCAACCATGGGCGTCCTTTTTTTTGGATGGCGCCCGTTAAAACGGGTGGTTCAAAACTGGGCAGCCCTCAGATCCCCCGCTAAAAGTTTAACTTCTAGTGGGTTCAATGGAAACTACCACTACACATGAAAAGGCTAAAAAGCTAAGGAACCGGATGGCTGAGAGCCACCGAGAAAAGTGAAACCAAGTTGGTGGGTCCTGGCGAGGGGCCAAGGCAGTGGACCACAGCAGCCGCGTCTCCAAGTCGTGGACGAAGAATGGCCGCAGCCGGCAGTGCGTGGCGCTGCAGTGCAAGTCCTCGGCCGGGAACTTGCTGCTTTGACAGGCAGGGAACCAGAACCCTCCCACCAACTAACATGGAAGTGCAAAAAGGCCCTTTCCAAGAGGAAAGTAGTCTTGCTACAGGGGTCTGTGCGCTGCCATGTTAGCTGGTGGGAGGGCTCCCCCGCAAAAGCCACGGGTGGGTTACTTGCAAATAATTAGGTTCATTCCCAACACAACCCTTGATTCCCAGCAAGCTAAGTGTGACAGTGTGTGTGTGTGTGTGTGCATGCGCGTGTCTGTGTCGAAACCTCTTTTGAAGCCCACTGTGTGTGTCAAACAATTGGGAGCGAGCTTTTTGGAAACTCATGTGTCATCTCATTTTGCAGAAAGAACGAGTGCATGAGAAACAAATCCCAACACCTATGAGCCCCTTTAACCAGGGAACCATGTCTGGATAGCTGTTTTTTACAGGGAATGCAAGAGGAACCAATCACTTTGGGTCGTAGGGCGCCCCCTGTGGATCGCTTCATTAAGGGTTGGGTATTTGATGAAGGGAATCCAAGAGGAAACCGCCCCAAGAGGCAAGAAAACATGTCCTGCAAGAAGCCCTCGAAAGCCAGATTTTAAAGGGATGAGGTGCAAAAGGTCACTGGCGAGAAGCCCAGTAGCCTGGTTTGGACCATGTTCCTTTTAAAGGGACAACTTCGAATCAATTGTACGACCGCCGTACGATCAATGCTCAAGCCGCAATCGCCCGACCGAAGGCAGTGAGCATACTTCACATCTCCAAGCTCGCACCCGGTGTCTATTGAACATAGCCAGTTTTGCGGAAACCCGCCGCGAATCAAATCTAGGTGCGGTGCTTGCACTATCGAGTTACCAACCTGCAAGCGAAACAGTTAATTACCCCGAGGAAAAAAAGAGGAAACAACAAAACCAAAAAAACGAGCTAATGACCCCGAGGGAAAAGACTAGCTGTCTGCCAAGTCACGTCGTCAGTGATGCCCTGTAGCAGGCGCAAAGGGCCTGCGTCGGGCCATTGACATGGATTTGGGTTCTTGGCGCTGCAGACCTGTTTTTCCGGGACCCGCAGTCAACCTGACTCTCACGCCACAGGTCCCAACGGGATTTGAAAGCCAGGGCTTTCCTTGGGGAGTCCTTGGTTCACCCAGAATTGACGATCTGCGAACCAAACTTTGATGGATTCAACCTCCCGGATCCAAAGACCGGCCATTCGTCTGCAAGTGTTTTTTTCACTTCCCGAATCCCCAACGCAAAGGTCCTTCATGCGGCACCCCCATGTCAAAAAACCCTTGGTACTAAGCGGCCCAGCCTGAGGGCAGGCTCAGCTGCAGCTCGGGCAGGAAGGCGGGCAAGTGGTCTACCGAGCCAAAGGGAAACCCACAGAGAGGCAGCTGAGCCAGCATCTCAGGCTCCTCACAGATGGGGTCCTTTCAATGAATTCTAACCCCCACCCACAGGGAATCGGGAAACATACCCTTTATATGTCTCCCATGAAACACTACCCAAGAAATGAATTGGATATTCTGCATATATGTATATATATATATATATACATACATAAAACATATATACAATTTCCACTTGGTTTGCAGACGCCTTGCAGAAAACACTGTAGTTCATCGTGTGGTGTAAGATGTTTTGTATTGTGCCAGGTGCAATGATGATTTGAGGCGAACCGATAAATTTAAAAGCGTTTTGAGATGCAACTCATCCGGAACGCCAAGTAAAGGAATCTTTAAGTTAAGTGTGCTAAACTTAGCCTCAAACAAAAGGGTACTCTGAAAATCAGCCTTTCAGACTCCGTTTCAGTAGCTGGCACAATGCCCACATGTTGGTTTGGTCATCCCCTTCAGGAAACTGTGCCATCTGCTTTCTCCCTGGTGTATAAGGGGGTGTTTTTTGAGGGTACCTTTGTTTGGGTTTCAAAGGTATCACCCAAAGGATAACCACGAATTTCGGAATTTGCGGGGTCCCCTAAGGAATGACATCCTATGGTTTCCTTTAAGGGAATCTCTAGGTTCATTACCAACACCCTGAATCATTCCCCACTGAGCACCAGCAAGAGAAAAACACAGCCATAAGCTAATTTTCGAGACCCCGCCTCACACTGATCGGCCTTGCAGGGCTGGCAGCAAACCTCATACTCCTCCGGCAGCAGGTTGGTCCAATACGCCTGCGGAGTTCCCGCTAGGTTAACTGTTCGGAAAGGCTCCACTGAGCCTAATCAACACCGACCCCAAACTACAAGAACTTACCAGGTACCCCTACCAGACTCAATACTCTACCCCTCGCAGCCATCTTTGAGGCAAAGAGCAAGCGAACGAGGGCAACCGAAGCTTCACATGCGAGGACGCTCGGGTGACAGTCAAAACCTGGTATTAAAATGGCAAGAGGGCCGCACCCATTTCTGGTTGGGACTGCCTCCTAGTAACCTTGACCTAAGCGGATTCTGATTGTGCCTCAAGAAAGTAGTTTTTTGTTGGAAATCCGTTGGGGAATCCACTAGTTACCATCCCTACCAACAGTGTGCGAGGATTGGACATACATAGAGATGTGTCCACCCTTGCAGTTTGACATGGAACCCTCGAAGCCTTCATTTGGAGAGGAATCTGTGCTTGGGGATCAGACCCCTTTTTGCGGCTCCAAGTGAATTTGTAGTGGTCACAACCACATGGGTATGGCTCAAAAAACCGGTACCAAAATGGGTTGCCCTGGTAAGTGGAAACATGGACCAAAACCTGCGCAACCCTAGCTCTTGAATTTTGAGCCACACCCACATCCGTGCGAATCCTCCAAACCAAGATGAGCAACACTTTTGGCTTGCCCCTTGGCCTGTCGTTTTTAAGTGGCTCATTGAAGGCAGTGGCATGGAGTAGCGCTATGTTACTCGGACGACGTAAGGCCTAACCGGACTGGGCACTTTTTTGCGCCTGGTACCGGCGGATGGCCACCTCGGGCATGCAGTCTGCTGAGTCATTCCGCCACCTGGCCCCGAGTTCGGGGGCCTGGGGGGCTGGGGCCAATCCCTTTTGATCTTTGAACCACTGTTTCAACAACCTTTGGTTTGGCAACCAGTGCAACTCAGCAACCAATCGCGGTGCTTTTGGCTGAAGTACCCCCCCTCTTCAGAATCATGGACTTGGACAAGAGGCCTTTTCAAGAGGATGGTAGCCTCCTGTCCACTTCCATTTGTTTTAAGGAATCCCTAAGAGGGGGGTGGTCCAAGGGGGGGTTCTCCCTTGAATAACGGGCTCTGAACTACCCCGCTGTTGTACTTATTTCCCTATGGCAGGGAATGAGGGCATGACCCTTATAAAGCATCATCTCTCGTGGTTTCCTTTGTTCGGGATCCCTGTGTTCATTCTCATATTCCCAGCAGGTACTTGTTGCAAAAAGGGAAAGCCGCAGGATAGTCCCTCACCAGCAGCCCTGGGCTCGGGAAAATCTCCTGCCCGTCCTCCTCTGACAGCGGGTCCGGCAGAAAAGTCGTGTCTTTGTGTGGGTTCCCACGACCCAACGAGCAGGAGCAACAGAATGAACATATCTAAGCATGCAATCAACAATGCAATGATAACGAAGACTTGGTTTGAAAGGAACCTACCCAAAGATATGATCATCATCCAAAAGTCGCAGGTCTGCGCCTGTTGATGGCAAGGGGCCTTCTACCCTCCAATGACAAAATTGTTTGATGGCTCAAGATACAAATGCGGAGCTGCTTCTTCGGCAATGGGCCGAGAAACCACGAATCAAGAACCCCCCCCCAATTGAGAAAGGCTCAAATGATCCTACTTTCTGAGCTTTGCTGGGCTGTCCCCTTAAAAGTGAACTTGCGGGTTAAATGCGGCAACCACTACTAAACCAGCTAAAAAGCTAAACGCTTAACGGGATGGTTGCGAACCACCAAGTTTGTGTCTACCTAAACTTCGAATCCAAGACCTCCAGGCGTCAAGCGCCTGGAGGCTGCGCACTGGATGAAGTCAGAGCTCTCTGGCAAATACCTCAGTGATCGAGCTGCTCGATTCACGTTGCGAAATGGGGAGCCCTGCCAAACGGGGGCCCTGGTAATGTACATGGAAAAATTCACCCTTCGGACATCAGACGTCGGATTTATGTCCAGCCATGTGGCTTTCCAAAATGACTGGAGGTGTTTACTGCTGGAAATTCCATGCTGGACTTGGCCTCAGGTTCATAGTGACAGCGACGCCCTCAAATGAAAGCTGCATTATATTTGAGATCCCTGCAGGGCTCACTCTACACCCAGCTAATCCGTTCCCTCCAGACCTCCGTTCACTTGTGGCTAGGAACTTGTCTGATGGCAAAGCTATTGCTCCACCAACACTTCAAAAACAATTGTGAGTTCTACAGCATACGAATCATAAGTTTTCGCTCGTTTTTTCCCTGATTGGTAAGCTCGCTGTAAAAAGGGCAGACAGTTGGCTGAGATGCCGGTACGAAGCCGCGAGATGCTGCCAAAAGATCGCCTTGCCCATGGTTCCGCCTCGGGCCCGCGGAGAGCGGAGTGGGTTGCCTTCGGGACAAGGGTGTGTCTGTGTGTGTGTGTGTGTGTGCGTGTGTTTGTGTGTGTGTGTGTGTGTGTGTGTGTGTGTGTGTGTGTGTGTGTGTGTCTGTGTGTGTGTGTGTGTGTGTCCGCGCGTGTGCGTGTGCGTGTGCGTGTGCGTGTGCGTGTGCGTGTGCGTGTGCGTGTGCGTGTGCGTGTGCGTGCGCGTGCGCGTGCGCGTGCGCGTGCGCGTGCGCGTGCGCGTGCGCGTGCGCGTGCGCGTGCGCGTAGCCGCGCGGTGCGCGTGTGCGCGCGGGTGCGCGTGCGCGCGTGCGCGCGGCGCTGCGCGCGCGCGCGCGCGGCGTGCGTGCGTGCGTGCTGCGTGCTGCGTGCGCGCGTGCGTGCGTGCGTGCGTGCGTGCGTGCGTGCGTGCGTGCGTGCGTGCGTGCGTGCGTGCGTGCGTGCGTGCGTGCGTGCGTGCGTGCGTGCGTGCGTGCGTGCGTGCGTGCGTGCGTGCGTGCGTGCGTGCGTGCGTGCGTGCGTGCGTGCGTGTGCGTGCGTGTAAATTTGGGATTTGGACCCCCGTCCAAACAAATATTCTCCTAGTTTCCTTCTGAACCAGCTACCTTCAACATACACACACAAACACACAAGCAAACAAATAGGGCAAACAAGCAAACAAAAACAACAAACAAACACAACAAAGCAAACAACCAACCAACCAAACAAACAAACAAACAAAGCAAAACAAAACAAACCACCAAACAAACAAACACACAAGCAAACCAGCGAACAAACAAACAAGCGAACAAACACAACAGCCGAACTCACAATTACACGCACACACGCGCAAACAAACAAGCAAGCAAACAAGCAAGCAAGCAAGAAAGAAACACACAAACAGAACAGCACAAAGAATCAACCAAAAGTAAGTTGGCGCCTGCTGGCCTGGTTACTGCTTCCAAGCAAGCCAAGTGTGGAACCTGTTTACCAACCTGTAGACACTATTGATAAACATGTAGAAGCTATTCATATATATATATATAAGCAGAAGCTACTTAAAACCTGCAAAGCTCCAAGTCCCTTGGCCTCTTGGCCCGAGCTCATCTCACGTCTTCTTAGGCGCCGCCTTGGCCCTCTTCTTTGGCCCGGGCTGGCGGTCAGATGAGCTTGAAGTGGAAGACCCAGCAATCAGCCTGCGCTGAACGAATCTGCGCTGACCAAAACTAAGCACTGCCCCGTTGAATTTATGTACAACAACCCACTGGAAAAGCGCAGTCGCGTGGGATGAGTATACTTGCCTCTCGTCTGACTGAATCGTGGCGATCGTATGGAGGAGGACTGACTTCGCGCACTTGTCGGGGAAGCTGGTCGCGATGTTGCTGATGCTCGGGGACTCCATGTCCCTCTCCGCGGTCCCGGGCTCGTCGAACTGGTCCATGATGGTCTCAATCTCCTTGTAGTAGTTGCTGTCCTCCCTCTCGAAGAGCAAGTTCCTGGCCGACTCCAAGATCCTCGACCAAGTCTAGTATCGTAGCACCACATTCTTCCGAAAGAAGCGATAAACTGTGACCTTGTCATCGCAAAACCGTCTAAACATCGCGCCACGCTTTTTGATCGTTTTCATACACATGGTTGCCGACACGCGCGCTCCGCAGCGAACCTCGCTGCACGGGGCCCTTTTGGGGACAAGTCTATATAGAACCTGAATAACATGGTGTGTCATACCAATTGTCTTTTGGCTGCCACACACCTCGAAACCATGCAAGACCAAAAATTGGGCACGCGTGCGTGGTTTGTCTCGCGCTTCGATGGAGCCGAGTCTGCGGTTTCTGCTTGGTCTATCTGGGCAATTTGGCTTTTCCCCAAAATTCCCTAAACATGCATGCACAAACCTAAGATTGATGGACCACAAGTATAGATAGGTGACCCTTACAACAGTTGATTCTGCAATTTGCTCGTTGGGGGTGGGGGGTCCCGAACAGTGCGAGAGTTTGGCCAGAATCGGCAAGCGAAAGCATGCCATATATATATATATATTTCTATATATATGAATATTCTGGAACCCTCACATCCGAACATATTGTTGCTGATTGCGCGCGCTCTCCATGTTTGCGGCTTTGAACGGAAATTCGGGAAGACGCGTGGCAATCAAGCTGTGGACTTCTCCAGACCCTAAGCTGTTTAGCTCGATCGGTGCTGCTTTCTCTTGCCGGGGAATGAAGCCGTTTGAACCTCTAGGCCACTCAACAGCTGGCTTCTGCTGGACAAAAATTGGGGCGGGTTCAGGAGACAACTCAATTGAAAGCTTGCGTCCAGCAAAAATACCCAGGGTCAGATTCCCGCCCATTGCTTCTGGCCTGCACCCACATTCTCCTCTCAACCTGGGCGTGTGCAGGATGACTGCCAGCTGCACTGAACGGCGATTTTCTGAGCGGCTGGCTGCAAGACCACTGCCGCCACTCGCTTCCACGAAGCTTGGCCCGGCGCAAAGTGTTTCGATTTTCCTGCAGGCAGATCGGCGCGGGGCACAAGAACTAAAGCAAGGATGGCCATGAGAAATAACGTACAGACCTTCCCTTCGCTCGTGCCTACACCGCCCTGCCATTGCACGGTGGTCCTGCGCCCGGTTTGGGGGGTCAAAATGCTGGGTTCTATGTAGAGTTACAAGTTTCTAAGTAATTATAGGGAAAATCTTTGTAAGCCGTACTGTATACAAATAAATAAATAAATATATATATATATTTGAAAGTATACACGCAGGCTATCCTCCAACAAGGATTGACAAAGGAAGAGGGCAGGTTGGCGAAGCAACAATGTATATGTGTGAGTACAAATGCTATATATTCCAAAAGGGTGGCTCAAACATCTAGAGACAAACCTTATCTTATTTCAAGTTTTGGGGCAATACAAGTTGGCAGGCTTGCCTAAGTGCTCCAAGCCAGCTATATAGCAGCAACCCCTGCGGTCACCCAAGCGGAGGCTGGTGGGTTTTTGTGGAGTGGGGGAGTGTGAGTGGAGCGGGGGAAAGTGGAGAGGGAGAGCGGGGTGGAGTTTGGAGTGGAGTGGAGAGGAGGTGGAGTGGAGTGTGTGTGGGGTGGAGAGAAGCCAGTTGCCAAACGCGGCAATGTCACAGATGTCACACCTTTTTTGTAAGTACCGTAAGTACTTTAAGTGCCTTGTGCCTTATCTGTGTGTGCGTCCTGAGCTTATGTTACTTAAAAGTCACTTAGCGACCAATACAATTCCCATGAGTGCGCCAAGACTTGGACCAGCACTTGGAATACTTGCAAGCGCCCAGACCCGAGCAAACAACACCTTCTGCAGCCAAGCAGAAGACGCGCTGGGCAACAGAGTAGGGGCACCTTGGCGTACCCTGCACCGGGCAGAGAGGGCTAATTATCCGGACTCGAATTGGAGATTTAGTCAGGTCGCTCGTCGCCGAATCCGCGCAGTCTTCACCGTCAGAAGCGTAGGTGCGCTCAGAGGGGTTCTTGACGGCCGCCTTTGCGTTGCGCCCGGCGGTCCGTTTTGCTGAGTGACTGGAGGCTTTTGAACCACCTGGAATTTTGCGACCCTCGTGCCATCCAATCTCTGGCAAGGCAAATCACAGTCGAGCCAAAAGAAGAGGCAAGCACAATACTTCCGGTCACCTTACCCCTTACCCCAAAACCAAGTCCACTTCGCCACCGTCATGCCAGAACAACAAAAAGTAGCAGGATCAATCAGGTCTGGCCGACTCACGCCGATACAGGCAAACACACACACACAAAGGAAGCCATTCGAGTGACTGAACTTCTCAGATTCTACTGCAAGACCTGCAGACCATGGACGCACCCCAGTACCAGAAAGTGGACGATGACAAGCAGCGTCTGCTTCAGTCCCAAGATTGTTCCAGGCAAATTTATGGGTCAAATATCTGTCTGCGTAAAAGGAGCCTCAAACACACACCCCAACTAAAAAGTTCAACGGCGCACAAAGACAGTTGACAGACCGGCGCAAGGTAGTCCATGCAAAACATGCATGCAACATCCAAAAAAAAAGGAACATATCCTAACCAATCCTTGAAAGGAAACCCAAACAACATTGCATATCAACATGCCCGCAACGGCGCGGAACAGAAGAGCGCACATGTTGCATGCCTTGTGCACGTCGCATGCCTTTTGCATGCGTAGTGTTTGCCCAAATTGCTGCAACATACATGCGACACGCGTGCAAAATGCAAGCAAGCGGGCAAGGCAAAAGAACGTCCAAGTCTAGAAACCCTACTTCGAGAGACACGGCCAAGAAAAAGCGGATCCTACGTCAGGGTTGATGTTGTCTGGCTCAACCACCTTACGTTTGGCGCTCGTTCCTTCGCGTTCTTTCCTTGGTCTCTCGTGTCCCGACGCCTCGCCTGTCGCGGCTTCCGTGGCCCTTGGCGCTTGGCCTCACTCGCCACATTCCAGGCAGCCTTCTTTTGCTTCGCTGCCTTCGCCCAGGGCTGGGGGAAGCTCTTCTCGCGCCCCCCTGTCCTCGGCCCTGCTTGCTCTTTCGAGCGCTGCGCGGTTTTCTTCTCCGCCTTCCTGTTGCCGCGCGCCCGTCGCCCCTCCTGGGAGCGACGCGCCGTTTTGCGCCTCGCGGCCTTGCCGTTGTCTTTCGCAGCCTTCTTTTCGACCCGCCTCCGCTTGGTGGTCTCCTTGCGCTTGTCGGCCGCTCCCACCTTGCGCCGGGCCTCCTCCTGCGCGGCGTGCGCGGGGCGGCGCCGGCGACGGGGCCCGCGCGGAAGCTGGCCTCCTCCAGCGCGCGCACCTCACAGGAACAAGATTCATGAAAACAAGCTCATGAAAACAAGATTCGCGAAACCAACCTTGCAGGAACTACACGTGAAGTGGCGCTTGAACTTGCAGTGGTGGCGGTGGAAGCGGAGGAACAGGAAGTGGAGTTGGTGGTGGGGCACGACGTTTCACCTTCACCCTTGAGCACCTTTTCTGGATGCCCTGAGACGCTTGAGACCTCCCCCTCCAGCACTACACACATACTGCCAGCCCAGCATGTGGAACCAGCTCAAAGCTCCTTCCAAATAATTCCAAAACACCTCCAAATAGCTCCAGGGGGGTGATTTTAAATGGTTCCAAGAAATTCTATATAGTTCCCAGCTATTTCCAAATAGTTCTCAGCCATTTATAAATAGTAACTATGCATAAATAGTTCCCAGCAGTTTATAAATAGTTGCCAGGAATATATAAACAGTTCCCACAAGCTTATGAAAAGTTCCCAGAAAACATACGGAGACAAGGAAAGAAGGAAATAAGAAAGAAAGAAATAAAGAAAGAAAGAAAGAAAGAAAGAAAGACAGAAAGAAAGAAAGAAAGAAAGACAGAGAAGGACACAAATAAACAAAGAAAGGCAACAAAAAACATTTTAAATAAATAACATAACAAAGACAGAAAGAAACCATGAAGGAAATGAAGAAGCACAAGAAATGAAGAAAGAGGAAGACAGAGAAAGAAAGAAAGACAGTAAGTACAAAAGAAAGAATACAGAAAGACAAAAAGACAGAAACAAACAGAAAGACAGACAGACAGACAAACAAACAGACAGACAGACAAACAGACTGGCATGCAGACAGACAGACAAACAGACTGGCATGCAGACAGACAGACAGACAGACAGACAGACAGACAGACAGACAGACAGACAGACAAACAGAAAGAAAGAAAGAAAGAAAGAAAGAAAGAAAACACACACACAGCCACACAAGCAAGCAAGCAAGCAAGCAAGCAAGCAAGCAAGCAAGCAAGCAAGCAAGCAAGCAAGCAAGCAAGCAAGCAAGCAAGCAAGCAAGCAAGCAAGCAAGCAAGCAAGCAAGCAAGCAAGCAAGCAAGCAAGCAAGCAAGCAAGCAAGCAAGCAAGCAAGCAAGCAAGCAAGCAAGCAAGCAAGCAAGCAAGCAAGCAAGCAAGCAAGCAAGCAAGCAAGCAAGCAAGCAAGCAAGCAAGCAAGCAAGCAAGCAAGCAAGCAAGCAAGCAAGCAAGCAAGCAAGCAAGCAAGCAAGCAAGCAAGCAAGCTTGCAAGCAAGCAAGCAACAAACAAACAAACAACAAACAACAAACAAAACTAAACTGAACAAAACAAAGACAACAAAACAAGACAAACCAAAGAAACAATCGAGTAACCAAACAAACACAACACGAAACAAGCAAGCGAACAAACAGACAAACAAACAAACAAACAAACAAACAAACAAACAAACGAACACACAAACAAACAAACACAAACAGACAAACAAACACACAAACGAACGAACACACGAACACACAAACAAACAAACACAAACAGACAAACAAACAACCACACAAACGAACAAACACACAAACAAACAAACACAAACAGACAAACAAACAAACAAACAAACACAAACATCACAACATACACATACAAACAACGAACCGACACAAAAACACAACGAAACAAAGAAGCGAGCACGCACACACACACACACACACATGCACACACACACACAGCAGGACACCACACCAGTTTGAGGCCCGTTCGAGGATTTCAAGCGCTGGCTTTGACTTAGCTAAAAACATACATCATGTCCTGCAAGATCTTTTCAATTGACCCTCATGGCACAAGGTAACCCATTTCTGCTGATCATCTGTGGGCGTGCCCACCAAATACGAAAGGCAAGGCCGCCACTCTGGGTTTCGCATTCGGGTTTCGCTGTAGAGGCCGCTGGGAAGACAAAACAGCGGAGAAAGGGCCGGTGGAAATCTTGAACGTAGGCACAGTCACCCATCTAGCCACACACCCTGGTAAATTGCAGCAAGCATAGGTGACCTTTTGGACAAATAGATGGGTCTCGCTGGTAAATGCTAGAAAACCAATCTACCAGTGCCGTCCATTTCGTAGCAAACCAACCGAAGCACACCCATGGCAAGTCCCGGGATTTCCTCTGCATCAGGCCCTTGCCGAGCAGCTGTAGTCGGCAACAGGGAATCCATTCTTCAGCGAGTAGACTGCCGGCCTTGAGCACACGGCCATTCCAGTCGGTCTGAAGCAAGGAAGCTGGGAATCTCCAAGCAAACAAAAAGAGGCGTACTCCGTCAACACGTTTGGAGCTTGATCCTTGCGAGCGCTCGGCCCCTCAGAGCAAATCCAGTCAACCTCCAAATTAGCACAACTTGGAAAGGCCATGTGCAGGTCTCCCCAGAACTGCCAACAATACGGTTAGAGGAATCACGTTCATTTGCAGGGGAGTAACTTGGGGGGGGGGCGTTCATTGCATGCCACGAAAGCAGCGCCCTCTGTGCCTGTCAAACATGGATCAGCTTGGGCCGCTCGCCGACCAGTCGCCCGCCATGGCGCGAGCAAGTGGGGGACAGAAGGAGCCCGTGCTCTATCTGGGTGTTGCGTCTCGCGTGTTCTGCTTGATTATTAACCCACGGGTTGGTTGTTCTTGGCAAGGAGTTTGAAGGGAATCGCCCATTTCGGAGGCTCCCTCGTTTAGAGGCAAAGCCGTCTGAATTTAATTAATGGTCTAAAGTATACAAAAAGGTGGGGCTTGTGGTATTGTTGATTGCTATTGGTTGGAGATCGTCTTCGTATTCTTGAGACACGGGTGGATTCTTGCTTCCCAAAGTCAACCAATGCGGGGCATGCATTCGCCACACTGCCACGCTCCCCAAAAGCCGCATGTTCAAGAGGGACCCATCGCTCGGCAAAGGGCAAACGCGAACTTCCACAAGGTTCAAAGGCGTTTTGCTACCCCGTGCAAGACACACACACACAGTCAGGACCGGCTCATATAATCTAAAGCTTCGGGTGTGATCCCTGGTATCATGCCAGCGTTGGCTCGAATCAACGCGTCCGCTTTTGCTGCTTCTTGCTCGGTCGCGGTCGCGGCGGCCCGAAGGCGCCGGTAAATGTCCTTGGCAAGCGCTGGCAAACCGCAAGCCGTAGTGGGACACTTTGAGCAAACACGGCCAACTAGCATAATGGTGGATTTTGAACAACCCGAACCACAGTGGAACCAACTGATCTCATCTGGCATAGTTATGGATTTTGAATAACCCGAACCACAGCGGAACCAACTGATCTCATCTGGCATAGTTATGGATTTTGAACAACCCGAACCACAGTGGAACCAACTGATCTCATCTGGCATAGTTATGGATTTTGAACAACCCGAACCACAGTGCAACCAACTGATCTCATCTGGCATAGTTATGAAATTTGAACAACCCGAACCACAGTGGAACCAACTGATCTCATCTGGCATAGTTATGGATTTTGAACAACCCGAACCACAGTGGAACCAACTGATCTCATCTGGCATAGTTTGGATTTTGAACAACCCGAACCACAGTGGAACCAACTGATCTCATCTGGCATAGTTATGGATTTTGAATAACCCGAACCACAGCGGAACCAACTGATCTCATCTGGCATAGTTATGGATTTTGAACAACCCGAACCACAGTGGAACCAACTGATCTCATCTGGCATAGTTATGGATTTTGAACAACCCGAACCACAGTGCAACCAACTGATCTCATCTGGCATAGTTATGAAATTTGAACAACCCGAACCACAGTGGAACCAACTGATCTCATCTGGCATAGTTATGGATTTTGAACAACCCGAACCACAGTGGAACCAACTGATCTCATCTGGCATAGTTGTGGATTTTGAACGACCCGAACCACAGTGGAACCAACTGATCTCATCTGGCATAGTTATGGATTTTGAACAACCCGAACCACAGTGGAACCAACTGAACTCATCTGGCATAGTTGTGGATTTTGAACAACCCCGAACCACAGTGGAACCAACTGATCTGGCATAGTGGATTTTGAAGAACCTGAACAATTCCCGCGCAAAGAGCGGGCAACTCGTCCTGCTGCGAGGTCGTAGGCCATGACTCAGGCATATATGGTATCAGAGGTGTATTGTTTGAAACTTGGTGAATTCTTAGGGCTGGCAACATCCCCCATCACTTGAACCAGGCTTGACCTGTTCGCATGACTAGCCTGACTTGGACCTGGGATTGCTCCTGCCTGGGGTCTTAGTGAGGGCGGGCCTTGTGCTGGTCTGGGGTGCTTGGACCTCGGCAAAGGCTGTTGGGTCGGTTTGGGGTTGCGTTGGGGTGGGTGTGGGTTGGCATGAAGCTGATTTGTGCTAGCTGCGCGGCTGGCTTTAGGGGCGCTTTAGGGTGTCGGTGTGGTTGAGTGTTTGGGCTAGTTTTGGTTTTCCGGGACACCGCGCCAAAACAAACCCAACCAACCAAGACCAACCTCGCGCACCAGCCCTTAGACGAAACAGCAGCCCTAGTGCTTTTGATTATAAATGCTCATCCTAGGCACGTAGGGGCTGTCACAAGCCACCTAGCATGAAAAAAACACTCCAAAACACCAGGAATGGTAAAGGCGGCGCCTCAGGTTTGCCTTGGGATGGTTCTGCAATCTGCCCTGAAGGGAGTTCGAACGGACTCAACTTGCCGCCGAAGGTCCCAAAGCGTGCCCTTGCCGGGCAAGACGTGATCCGCGGCCTCCTGGGAGCCAAGCGCGGCTGTGGCGGAACTCCGGTTCCTTTGGGGGCGGTAACATGGTTCAAAACCAATGGTACCATTTTGGGATAGGTGCACCACCCATTTTAGAACCTATTTTAGTGGGGATGGGGATGTTCACTGGGGGTACGGGGGGTTGACCCGTGGCTAAATCGCAGCAACACCTTCGGCACAATGCACTGCCGCTTGTGAAAAGATGGCTGGCGCGCAGCTGGGACGTGTTCGATGCGCACAGCGCACTGAGGTTCCAACACGCAAGCGTCCGGGGCAACCTTCACACCACCTGAGGGCGGCGGGCGGCGTGTTTTCTTCAGTCAGCCACGAGTTTCCACGTCTACAAGCCCGTAACAAGTAAACACTATGTTGTGCGTGTGGCGCGAAGGTGGTGAGCAAGGCAATGGCAAATGGAGACATCCTGTTGCCAAAGATAAGTCCAATTGCAGCAATAGGTTCCACTGAAAATGAGAATTGAATCTGAAGCCAGTGAAGTGGACTCCATCTATTCACCGTGGAAACCAAAAGGACACCCCATCAGTCTCCCGGCAGCGTGTCGGATATGCGAAAATCCGAGAAAGAAATCATGGAGATTACGCATCAGAACGCATCATGGTTTCTCTGTCAGGCCAATGAGAGCACGGGACAAAAATGCTAGTTGCAGTTACGGCCTGCAATGAGAGTATGGGACAAAACTGCTGGTTACAGTCATGCTCAAAAGCCTCGCCTGCACCGATTGCAGGGAGCTGAGTGATATACATCTGTATATATATATATATTCCATGTGAATGGAAACGTCAAAGGTAGTGGAGACTCAAAAAGCGGAGATGGGGAAGGTCTAGAAAGGACTGTACAAAGCCGTCCGAAAATCGTTTAGACTATCATGGATGCAACCGGGGATGGGAAAAGGACAGATCGCACATCGATTTCCTGGCGGCTTGTCTCCAAATGGGCGAAGCCCCCCAAACACACGCAGTCCGTCCGTGTTTTTTTCTTCTCTTTTTTTTTACCCCTTGAACAATCAGCCCCAAACAGCACCCACTCGAAACTTGCGGGAAAACACCATCTACCAGGCATTTCCCTTTAGCAAAACACTCTTTCGTAGTTGGACCCCGCTTTTGGTCTTCAAGGCATACAACAAAAACAAGCACTTTTGTTGGGCCCCTTCGTTTTGAGACTGTTTGGGGGACCATCTTCAATCCAAAAGCAAGCCGGGCCCATCGGCCCATCTGGGGGTCCATTTCAGATTTGTTCGTTAGACAAAAAGATGTGGGATCAATTCCGTAGGGGAAGCCAAACCAAAAGGAAGGCCGGAATCCACCGAACCACTGGGATGTCCTGAGTGACACCAAAACATAGGTAACATATAGGCGCTAGACCAGCACTACGCGCATCCTTCGCGTATGATCATGACTTGGCTTGGTTGGGCTGTCCCACCCGGTTCTAAGTAGTTAGGCCGTTGTGGTGCTATCCCTTGTGCTGTTTATGCAACTTCCATGGCAGAGAGTTTCAATTGGCCTCAAGTGGAGTTGATGTGGGTGCGTCTGAAACCACCGAAGCCATCAAATAGCGGTGTTCCTTTAAGCAACCAAAGAAGTGGTTCTCTCCAAAGGAAAACCAACCCATTCATATGCCTGAAGATAACCACGGAGAGTTGTTGTGTTCGATGTCAATTTTGCCCTGCCCCCCCATTCTTGGCTCGCCGAGCTCCCGGCTCCAGCAGTGGGTGCCCGGCCAGTTGCTGCAGGACCACACCTTTCGGAGATGGCTCCGGCCCCCCAATGGACTGCTTGGCTTCAAAAGACCCCAGGTAGGGCGCCCTTCTTCAGTTGCTTGACTTGAAAGGCAACCAAAAAAACAAAACAAAAACCAGGGGAACGTTTTGGAGGGAACCCATATTCCTCCTTTTCCTCATTTTCATACAAAGGCACTCCCCATACCCCCCCTCAGGACCTAAACCCTTGATACATTTTGCTGGCCTGGGGGATCCTAGGGAGGATCTCATGGAACTCACGGCACTCCGATCCCCTTTCACCCGACTCGCCTCTGTTGCGGGCGTTCATGATGAGCGGCAGCAGCTTGGAAGGCGCCTGGGGAGAGGTTGAGGGCCCCCAGAAGAGACGTTAGAATAAGGGTACCTTTTTTCTGTAGTCTGTTTTAGTAGGGGAACCCTCCCCCAAAACAAGGCGGCTAAAAGGACACTACTGGGGGACCTAGGAAATGTCTCTTAAGGGAACCCAGTTTTGTGTTTCAAGGAAAATCAAGAGGACCCCCATTGCCTTTTGGGAGGTCTGAATCCTCATTTTGACACAATCCAACTCTTTGTCCAACCTCACGACATCAGCCCCGCCAAAAGGCAACTCACCCTAGTCTGAACGCCGACAGGTGCTGCTTGCTTCATGCGGAAAGAGCTGCAAGTGATTCTTTTTCAGAACCTCACGTTTCCAGAGAAGACAACCGGGATGCCTGTTTCTGACTGATTGATCCAAGAGGGATTTCTTGCACAACAAGCAGATGAACAGACAAACCCTAGAGAAAACCTCTGTGTCTTGGCGTCGCGTCGGCTCGATCCGCTGCCTGCGCCTCGTCCGCTGCCTTGGCGTTTTGTTGCAGAACACTGGTCTCGGAAAACCAAAGAAACTCAACTGCCCAGGCCTGGGTAGCAACATACCTGGGTTTTTGCACCCCCCTCTCAAGGGCAAACCACATGCTTACTTTTGTTCTCTGTAGTTTTAAAGAGAAGCCAAGGAAAAGCCACATGCTTACACCTTTTCTTTGTGGATCTAAAAACAACAAAGAACAAACACATGTTTGCCACATGTATCTTTGTGGTTTTAAACAAAAACAA